CCTTACCTACCTCCCTCCCCTCCCCTCCCTCCCCTCCCCTCCCCTCCCCTCCCCTCCCCACCCCCCTCCCTCCGTCCCTCCTCCCTTTTGTTGCCTCCTCCCTCCCTTCCCCCTTGCTCTCTTTGACCTCTTCCACTTGCTCCCCTCCCCTCCCGCTTCGCGTTGCTGCTCACCAAGTAGATGGACGAGGGTCGCTGACAAGGATCTTTCATCAGGCACAGGTTCTTGAAATCTTCAGCATCAGAAGAGTAGCCTGCGAGATATCAGCAGAAGCAAGAGGAACAAGGGAGGAGAGAGAAGAAGATGAGGGAGAGGAGGAGGGGAGGAGTGACGAAGGAGAAGAAGAGAAGAGGAAGGGCGGAGGAGAAAGAGGGAAGAAAGAAACGAGGGCAGGAGGAAGAGGAGAGTGAGGGCAGGAGGAGGAGCAGGAGGAGGACAGTGAGAGTGGGGATAGCAGGAGATGTGGTCAGGACCGGCCGGCATGTTTGGCGTCTCTCTTCGCACGGCATACTCGATGAGGGCGATGAAGGAGGAGTCTTGACCGAAGCAGACCTCGTAAGGGTGTTTGCCATACGCGAGCTGAGAGGGAAGGGAATCAAAACCATCTCAGTGTGCTCTGGTTGCTCCCTGTGAGAGGGACGAAGGGACTAGAAGGGGGGAGGATGAAGGTACTAGGAGGGGGGAGGATGAAGGGACTAGGGAGGGTGATGAAGGGACCAGTAGGGGGGAGGATGCAGGGACTAGAAGGGGGGAGGATGAAGGGACTAGGAGGGGGGAGGGTGAAGGGACTAGGAGGGGGGAGGGTGAAGGGACTAGGAGGGGGAGGGTGAAGGGACTAGGAGGGGGAGGGGTGGAAGGGACGTAGGAGGGGGAGGGAGTGAAGGGACGTAGGAGGAAGGAAGGCGAACGGAGGAGGTGAGGACGAGAGCAAGAGAGGAGGAAGATGGAAGGAGTAGGTGAGAGGCAGGACATGAGTCCCACTAGATCTTGTCCTGAAAGTCTGTGATACCTCGAGCATAATCATTCCAGCGCACCAGATGTCTGCAGGCCAGCTGTATGGCTCTCCTTGCAGCCTCTCTGGTGGAGAAGACGGTCAGAGAAGGGAGAAATCAGTTGAGGAGAAGTGACGATGGAGGAGGGGAGGGGAAGGAGGAGGAGGGCGAGGAGGAGGAGAAGGAGGAGAAGGGAGGAGGGAAAAGGGAAGCGGAGAGGGGGGGGGATGAGAAAGGAGGACGTTGAATTGTCTTCACTACCAGGCGAGAGGTATCTTGTGGTGCCAGTGAAAGTGCTGGCCATTTGCTAGGGATCAAAAGAACATGTCAGGCGACGCTGAAACCTCAACCACCACCACCACCACCTCCTCCTCCTCACCCGCCTCCTACTGCTCTCCCGCCTCTTAGTCGCCTCTCCCTCTCCCTCACTAGAGAGACTCTCGTCTATTCCCTCCCCCTTCCCTACTCTTACACTCTCCTCGTCCTCCTCGTACCTCTGGAGATACAGCCTGATTGAGTTCTGAGTCTATCCGACGGCTGAGAGGATCAGGTCATTTCAGGAGTATGAGACGTCTGCTTGCCTCGATCCGAAGTCAGAGATCTTGACGATCCCGTCCTTGGCCACCAGACAGTTGGCAGGCTGAAACGTGCAAACTCAATCAGCACGGGAGGGATGGATGGATGGATGGATGGAGGGAGGGAGGGAGGGAGGGAGGGAGGGAGGGAGGGAGGGAGGGAGGGAGGGAGGGAGGGAGGGAGGAAAGGGAGGGAGAGAGGGAGGAAAGGGAGGGAGGGAGGGAGAGATAACACAAAGACAAGTATCTTCAGCAGAACATCTCCATCTCACCTTCATGTCTCTATGGACGATGCCCTTGCGGTAGAGGTAAGACAAGCCCAGCAGGATACATCTCATGATGAACGACAGGGCCTGCCAACCTTTCAACAGGTTGCATCCTCCTCCTCCCCTCTTTTCTTCCGCTACTTCTCTCCTCCACTCCTCTTTTCCTCTTCAACTTTCTCTCTTCCCCTCCTCCCCCCTTCTCCTTTTCCTTGCGTCCTCCTTTCCTTTGTTTCCAGTCTCCTTATCTTCTGCTCTTCTCCTCCTTGCCTCGTACATCTTCCTCCGGCGCTCCTTTCTTCACGATCAAGTTGTCCAGTGCGCCGAAGTGGCAGAACTCCATGACAAGGAAGGTGGCATCCTCCTTGGGATCATAGTAGCCGTCGAAGAGGGACACAAGGAAAGGACACGGGGACTCTGCGAGCAAAAAACCATCAAGCTCCCTCCTCCCTCACTTCTATCAACCTGCGAGCATCGGCTTCAAGAACTGCATCTCCGCCACGAGTTGCTTCCGCAGCTGCTTGTCTCTGATGTTTAACAACTTTTTCACCGCAATGTCCTGCCGCGCCATGTCACCGGCAACCTTTCCAGCGTTGGTCCCACCTGGTCCGTGGGGAGGTGGCGCGCCTTCAGAACAACACTGAGAGCGTGAAGCATGTTAGAGGAGGAAGAGGAAGGTGGAGAAGATTCTGCTTCTCCCTACCTGCTCGCTCCTCTGCCGAGCTCCTTCCCTAACTCGATCTCGTCGAGGCCTATCCCGGACTTTCCCGAAAGGAGTCAGCAATGGAGGAGCGGAAGATCGGGATCTTACCTTCATACCGAGCAAGTTCAGCCGAAAGTCCTTTATGAGGAGCGACCCTCCAGCTGTTCAGGCAGCTCTCAGGCGCCAACTCAGCATGGAGCGTCCAGAGACATACCGGTGAATGCGAGGCTCGATTTCATCTCGGCCGTATGCTCTTCGTCCTCGTCGGCTTTGATGGCGGTCACTTTGAAATTCGGTCTCCTTTTCATGGTCAACGTCTGACAACAAGACCCTCTAAAGCTGCACGGCTCAAGTCAGTCCGAACGAAAGAGAAAAACAGCAGCGAGCGCGAAAATTCAATCACAACAGCAACAGGGAAATCTTTACCTTCCTCATGCACCAGGTGCAGGTGCTCAGCTCCGGACTTCAAGATCTCTTGTCCCTCTTGAACTCACTCTTGCTGTCCTGCTCCCAACACAGCCTTCCCCAGTTCTGCGGCCTCCTGCTCCTGCTCCTGCTCCTGCTCCTGCTCCTGCTCCTGCTCCTGCTCCTGCTCCTGTTCCCCTCCCGTGTCGGGCAGACGATTTTAAAATGACTATTTCCGTATTCTTATGTACGGACAGGATAGTTTACAATACTGTATACATTTTTAAAACTCATTTACTTCTATATGTTAAATTAATTTATAAATCTAAGTACAAATTTTAGATTCCATTCAGTACCGTGGGGTGTGTCAAAGCGAATCCTCATAGCAAAACTAAAATATCTTTTTATCTTGTGGAAGTTCTTGCAAAATGCACCACTAGCGAGACCAGCCGGAGGAGAGGGGAAGGGAAGGAGAGGAAGGGAGGAGATAGCAGAGCAGAAGTGAGCAGGAAGCACAGTAGTTACTGTAGCAGACGAGAGGCAAGACGGTAGGAGAGCAGCTGGAAGAGAGGAGGAAACGTACAGCAGGTCAAGTGCGAGGGAAGGACTGACAAGGACTGGACGTGCGAGATGGATGGGGATAACATGGATGATTGAGGGAGTTTGAGACATGTTCCTTGATGATAGATGATTGTAGCTCCAGTCATGCTGACTCGTGATTGTCACAGATGCCTCAGATTGAAGAGTTGAACTTAGAGGACCCCCCTGAATATCCTCCGCCGGTGTTCCGAGAGCCACCGACGAGAAGCGAAGAGAAGGATGATGAGAAGGAGGGGGAAAGGGAAGAGACTGAAGAAGAGAAAGCTGCGAAACAGGAAGCCCTACAGCGCGCCCGGAGCCTGAAAGAGGACGGGAATAAATATTTTGCTGCATATGATTATGACAACGCGGTCGCCATGTACACGGAAGCGATCGAGACCGCGCCGGAAGGGGAGAAGGAGAAAGCTGTATTCTACAACAACAGAGCTACATGTTACTTCAAGATGGGCAAACATGACGAGGTAATCAAGGACTGTACCTCGGCGCTCAAGATCGACCCCGATTACACCAAATGTTTGTTACGGAGGGCTCAGGTGCGTTCCTTGCTGTTTGTGACGTTCTCCTCAACTTCAAGTCAGTCGTACGAGACGGAGAAGAAAGTGTGTGAAGCTTTTGACGACTATCAGAAGATACTGAAGCTAGATCCCTCCAACCAGTAGCCCCTCTCTTGCATGCTTCTTCTATGCCTCTGATCGCGATGTGGCAGACTTGCGCTCTCGGGAAGCGCGAGGCTCGAGAAGCCTGCGAACGAGGTGGGAGGAGGAGGAGGAGGAGGAGGAGGAGGAGGAGGAGGAGGAAGAGGAGGAGGAGGAGCGAGTTCGAATGGCTGACGTGGCAGCGCAGGAGCGTGAGCGGCAGAAGGAGGAGATGCTGGGGAAGCTCAAGGACTTGGGGAATACGGTGAGGGATCCTCCGATGCTGTGCCGGCAATCTGAAGGCCAGCAGGTCCTTGGGAAGTTTGGTCTGAGTCTGGACAACTTTAAGGTGATGATGATGATGATGATGATGATGATGATGATGATGATGATGATGATGATGATGATGATGATGATGATGATTGCGATGACGACAACTACGACGACGACGACGACGACGATGGAGATGATGATGATGATGATGATGATGATGATCAGACGGGATCATGATAATCAGACGGGATCATGTTGTTGAAGTCCCTTGTTTCCAGGCGACGAAGAATGCGGAGGGAGGGTACTCGATCAGTTTCCAACAGTGAAGTCAGGGCCAGTGAGGTCGCATCCTAGAATGTTTCTTTGGACGAGGGATATACATTGTGTCTTCCTCGATACCTCGCATGGGTTTGCGACGACCTCGTTTTCCACCTTGAATTCTCGCACGAGAGCAGTCAACTTCATCCGGAGGCCTTAGACAGTGCCTTCAGCAGATGTGTGAACTGCACAAAACTGTCAGTACGATGAGTCCACCTCAAAGTCCTTGCCTGATCCGGCTCTGCCTCCTCCTCCGTCAACCAGGCGTCTATCGACAGGCCTTTGCTGACTCTGCTCGCGTCCTTCACTTCGATCGCAGCAGCAATCTGTCACAAACCTGGGTAGGCGAGGAGGGGCTTCACCCTTGGCTGCTGCTGCCATGTCCGCCTTGAAGACGACCTGCAGCAAGTGAGACGGTTGCAAGAGCTCAGTGGGGCCAGGAAAGGACTCCAGGCGATCAAGAAGAGGAGATGGGAACGTGGAGGAAGGGAGTGATGAATTGATAGCTGACGTCATCGATCATCAGAGCTGTGATGGCAACGTCCGCAACGTCCGCGGGAGTGATGGTCGCCTTCGTCGGCATCTCCTGGGCGCTGCATGGGGAAACCGCGATGTTCTTCATCCCCCCGAGTTTGTTCTCCATCTTGCAAGGAAGTCAAGGGGGACCAATACTCCTTCCAGCAGGCCCCTCACTCACCTTTCCAGCTCGAATGATGAGATATGACAGCCCGGCTTTTTCCAGCAGCGCCTCGCCTGTTCCAGTATGTCAGATGTTCGACTTACTGCCCTGTCGCTGACCAGCCCGTTGCGCTTCCAGTTGCTGGTTGCTGAACACGCCTTGTCCAGGTTTCAGCAAGCACCGCAGCGGTTGGCTGTGCGCACGTACCTTCACCTCCAGCCGAAGAGATCAGGACCATCCTCCTGACATTTGGCATTCTTTTTGCCATCTTGACACGCAGCTCAGGGGTTGAAGTTCACTGCTTGCCCCAGCTCACCTCCACTACACGCTCGACCCCTTGCTTGCTCAGTCTTTCAAAGGAAGTCTCCCCGAAAGGGAGGGATCCCGAATCGCAGTAGATTACAGCCTGCGCCTGCCGTAACTCCACCTGACTTCTCCATCGCACTTCACCTTTATGCCCTCCATCGCGTTCTCGAGCTGCGCATCGTCGAAGACATCTCCGTAGTAGATGTCGAGGTTGGCACCGTCTGTACCAAAGCAGTCTTCGGCCTTGTCGAACTCCTTGGTCAGGATACGAGCGTTGAGCCCCTGCTCCATCGTCTTGAGTGTCATCCATTGCCCGGTCACGCTCAGGGAGCCGATGACGAGCACGGCGTCAGGCCGGATCACCCGCTGGTTGACCAGATCCTCGGCTTCTTTGGCCACTGTAACCACAGACGGGCAACTCTTGGTCAGGCACGTCAAGGACCAGAGCAGATCACGTACGTGCATCGTAGTCTTTGTTCTTGGTCGTCTCTCGCTCCCCGTAGAAGATCCAGCCGTTGCCGAAGCGCTTCATGGTGAGGTCCTCGATCAAGTCGTCGGAGAAGGAAGGGGATTTCGTCGAGGATTTCTTCAAAGGGTTCCCCGGTCCACTCCAGACCTAATAGTGCAGTGAGAATTGCAATGATTTGCTGGCAAAGAGAGCAGGATAGGGAGGGAAGGAAAGGGGAGGGGAGGAAAGGGAGGGGAGGAAAGGGAGGGGAGGAAAGGGAGGGGAGGAAAGGGAGGGGAGGAAAGGGATGTCTTACTTTTCTCTGGGGCTCGGTATCCTGTCCCTGCATGCAGAAGGAGCGGCTGGTCTTGCGAGTGAAGGCATGATGGTTCACCATAGGGGCGTTTCCACCAAGAAAGGCAAAGAAAGGATGGACCTGGAGAATCAAGAGCACACCAAGGAGATTCCCTCGCATCTTGAACCCTGTAGATCACGAAGGTAAGTTACTCAATGACATCGAGTCTTACCCTAGATGCTGCTCCTGCTCCTGCTCCTGCTCCTGCTCCCTCTCCCTCTCCTGCTCCCTCTCCTGCTCCTGCTCCTGCTCCTGCTCCCTCTCCCGCTCCATCTCCTTCTCCTTCTCCCGCTCCATCTCCTTCTCCATCTCCTGCTCCTGCTCCTGCTCCTGCTCCTTCTCCCGCTCCTGCTCCTTCTCCCGCCCCATCTCCTTCTCCTGCTCCCGCTCCATTTTCTTGTCCTTCTCCTTCTCCATCTCCTGCTCCTTCTCCTCCCCACTTCTACGTCGTTCTCGGCCACTTCCCTCCTCTAAACTCGATGCCAGGCGTCAGGCATGTTTGTACATCGAACTTCGAAACTTTGCAATGCGGGAACTTCGATCACCCACAACCAAACTTTCCGAATCTCAAACTTTCAAACTTTATGAAGTCAAGGTGAATCGCAACAAAATGTGCTATGAACACAGAGAGTCGCAACTTGGTCGAGGACGAGGGGAGGGGAGGGGAGGGGAGAGCTAGAAGGAGGGAGAGGCGAGAGGTGAGAGGCGAGGGAGAGAGGAGGGGAGAGGGGGGGGAGAGAGGAGGGGAGAGGTGGAGGGCGAGAGGAGAAGTGAGAGGATCGTGAGAGAGGAGAGAGAGACAGAGAACAGGAGGCAGGGGAGTAGAGGGGAGGCAGACGGGAGAGATCGAAATTGGGGATGACGGGGAGAGCAGGGGATGGGTATGGGGGAGAGCGATGTGGAAGGAGAGACTGAGCGGAGGATTGAAACAAGAGGGGTCAAGAAAAAGAAGCAAGAGGGAGCAAGAGATCGGGTAAAGGTGGAAGACATTGTTGTTGAGGGCTGCTTGCAGGAACATGGAGCCCTCAAGGGACATGATCGACCTTCCCCTCACCACGGCAGAGCTTATGCAGGCCAACCCGACATATGCTGCGACAAGATTCTTGTGCTGTGAATGTGGGACGCCGACGACATGGAATGCTTCGTCCATGTGCCACAACTGCCTCAAGTCGAGGGTTGACATATCCGAGGGGATCACGACATCTGTGATGCTGCAGAGGTGCCGGGCATGCGGTCGATACCTGGACGCTCCCAAAATGTGGAAGAGCTGCGAACTTGAGTCGAGGGTGAGAATATCAGCCTCTACCCCCTCGGCATTCCGTCACTTTCACTGCAGGAGCTGTTGAGCATTTGCCTGAAGCGCATCAAGGGGATGAATAAAGTGAAGCTCATAGGTTGTGCCGGTCACTTCACACCAACTTGTTGAGTTGACGGCTGGCGAGCAGATGCAAGTTTTATCTGGACCGAGCCCCATTCCAAACGGCTCAAGGCAACGCTGCGACGATGAGATTGTTTGAAGTGAAGGAATGGTACAGGTGAAGATCACCGTGCAGAAAGAAGTCTACACTGGCGTCCTTTTGCAGCAGAATGTTGTCGTGGAGATCGTCTTGAAGAACTTTCAGTGTCCCAACTGTCACGAGGCGAGTCCCGATGAAGAACTGAGCGGCCGGGAGCTCCTCGGCTGACTGTCACATTACTTTGCTGTTTGTAATGCTTGCCCACGTGTGCAGGTGGCGGCAAAGCAGGAGTGGCTGGTGGTGGTGCAATGCCGGCAAAGAGCTGAGAACAAGAGGACCTTTTACCTGCTGGAGCAGCTGATCCTGAAGCACAAGGCCCACAAGAGGACGTTGAACGTGAAGGAAGTCCCAGACGGTGACTAGAGTGAAGGTTGTGAGTTGCCTCGGATTCATGTGCTGCAGGAATCGATTTCTACTTTGCCAACTTGAAGCACGCGACGAAGTTCAGCGCGTTTGTTACCTCAGTCATCCCCAGCAGGCGCAAAGCAGGTGCGGAGGGTTGAGGATTGGAGGGGGGCAGAGCTGGGGAGGGTTTAGATGATTTTCTCTTCACTACTATTGCAGGGGGGGACCGAGTGATGTCGCAAGACCTCAAGAACAACGTGGCGAAAATGAAACAAGCCATCCCCATCGAGATCATCCCTCTCTGCAAAGACGACATCTTCTGCCTTCATCCAAAGCAGCACAACAACCTAGGTCATTCTCCTTGTCAGCGCGCGACTCTTGACAAGCTCGCAGGCTGTATTGGCCCCCTGGTTGTAGTGGTCTCAGTCGGGCCGAACCTGAGGGTCTGTTGTGACTTGCAGGACCCACCCGTTGATTGCTCGTAGGTGATGGACTGGCAAAGGATGGAGATCCATGACTTTCGATCGGAAGTTTACTTCAGACAACCTAGATATGTATCGCCTCAGCCACGTCGACCTTGTTTCGTTTGACATGGGCTCCCTCACAGGCGCTCCAAACGATCAAGAATGCGATAGAGTACATCGTGATAGATTGCCATCCTACCGGCCTCGCTGTCGGACAGTTCCTGCAGGTTTGCCCTGCTGCTGCTGCTGCTGCTCCTCCTCCTCCTCTTCGTCCTCACCCCGTCACCAGGCGGAAGTCACGTTGGCAAAGGCGTCGGATTTGGGATCTAATGACATTCAAGTCACTTGCTTGTCTCACCTGGGTGCCATCCTACAGGTAGGCGCCATTACACCATCGTAGACAAACTCCATCCTACTTTTTTCCATCTATTTCCTCCTTTCGCTCATAACTTCTACCAGGCCGGAGATACAGTCTTGGGGTACGACCTCAGCAATGGTACTGAGCCCTACCGGTTGGTTTCTGTCTCGTGATGGTGCTGCTTTCAGCCGTCTTCAACGACAACGAGCTGCAGGATTGGCCGAAGCTTGTCCTACCTGAAGTCTTCATCGTCAAGAAGGTGGGAGTTCCCTTCATCTCGTCTTCCTGCCTGATGGAACCCTCAGGTTCCGCCCACGAGGAAGAAGAGGACGTGGAAACTCAGGGCGCTGATCAAGGAGGAGGCACGCGCGTGCCTGCTCCGCCCGTGTCGTGTGACGTGGGTCGGCAGGAGGAGGGAGTCTACCAGTCGCGCTTGAAGAGCTCGCGCGACGACTACGAGATGTTCCTCAATGACATCGAGAGCGATCCCACCGTCCGCAGGCAGGAGGGCACCAGGAGGAGCGCTGCTGTGCTGACACCTCCTACCGCAGCAACTTGAACCTCTACAAGGACCCAACGATGTGGAGGGTAACGGAGGATGGTTCTGTGATCCCCCCCGCCCGGGAGGAGGATCGGGAGGAAGTTGACCCCGGGCTGGAGGAGCACCTGCTCGACGACCTCGTGCTAGGTGAGCGACCGAGACGACGACGGGGAGGGAGAGGTGGGGAGGTCAAACTTGGAGCAGGTGAGGATTATGATGAAGAACCGTTGGAGGGTGACGGGGCAAGTTCCGACGAGGAGGGGAAGTGAAGGTATCGCTGAGCTGCGCAGAGGCCGGGGAGCGTGGAGGAGGTAGATATGATAGATTCGAGAGGATTGGTCGGGAGGATGTAACATTGATAATATCAATCGCCTTTTCCGCACACGCAGGCCCTTCGCGTCTGCAGGATTTGTCCACGTCAGCCGCCCAGCATTCGTCAGACAGGCGTCCACCTTAGGATGGGAGGCTTTGCAAGTGAAGCCCTTCTTGTCCGCCTTCGTAAGACAGATTCCCGCGTCCACGTCGATGGCTGGAAGGTTGAAAGTCAGTCGACAAATTCTTCTCATTCCACCACCTGCCCTTGTATATCTTCCCTTTCCTGCCCTATCCCTCTCCCTCTCCCTCCCTTCCTCTCTCTGTCCCTGTCTTCAATTTCTCCTCACACTTTCCCCTTGCTTCCACCATCTCTCCCTCGGCCTCCCCCCTCACCCGGTTGATCGTTCCCCTCAGATTGCGAGCATGACTTGCACTGCCCCGGAAAGGCAATCTTGAGAGCATCGCAGTTGTTGATTATGTCCAGCAGATCTTCCTGCAGCCTTATCCTCACTACTCGTAAGCTCCTCCTCCTCTTCCTCCTCTCACCTGGCAACCCAACGAGACCGTCCCGCATGTCGTTTCGCAGTCAACCCCCAGCTCACCAGACACAAGGTGTCGCTCATCCGGCAACTTGTCGAACTCATGAACGTTGGCAAAGTCTTTCGCAGAAGACGGGGAGCTCGAAGAATGAGAAGCTTTGTCGCCTGCGTTCTGAAGGAAAGCATCGCGGGTGAGAACAGGAACGAGGGAAATTTAGATGTATTCCAGAGATTGGAATGCAGGATGGGAGAGGAGACGAAAGGCAGAGGACAGAGAGCGAGGAAGGGACCTGGAAAATCATGAAAGGCTCCGGAGGCACGACATGACAAGGAGAGAAGTCCGCTGCGCACATATGAGCTCCTGCCCAAGGAGGGGGAGCCAAGTTGATTTGAACCTGCTTGAGCACAGTCTCCATGGAAGGCGTTGTCCTTGAGGAGAGTGTTGGCAAGCTGAGAACGAATGAAACGTTACACCTCCTCTTCCGCGCAAGCTCTCCTCTCACCACAAACGGCGCCGCGCATGCAAGGTCCTGCGTCTGAATCAGGTTGTGCCGGTACAGCAGCTGCTGCCCAGCTGGAAGGTGGGGCTGCCACTTCTTCAGCTGCGGGTAGCTGCCAGCATCCTAGAGAGGAGCGTCACTCCATGACGGCAGAGGATCATACAGCTCTGACGCTGCTCTACCTTAGAGAACCACATGTCCACTAAGTTCTCGAACGAGGCCACCCCAGCTTGCTCAAGCACGAAGCCCCCAAGGTGCTCGAGCTCAGCGCACGGCAGCAGCATTCCGCTGACCCCCCTGGAGAATCTCAAGATCGACCAGGACCCCCAGAAGTTGTCTGCCTTGGCGACAGCATATCTGCAGAGACACGCCTCAATCCCTCCCTGCTCCCTCGACCTCCTCCCGTGCTTACCGGATGACATGAAGGGCGTTGGGGCAGACAGACGGCCCCTCGCTCTGATCCAGCAGGAGGACGTGCTGGCACCTTGCTGATCGTCAACCAGTGAGACAGTGTCGCTAGCTCATGACATTTTCTTCTGCTACCTTGCACCTCCTTCAACAACATGCCGAGCCTAACCGTCCTGACAGTCTCTGACGCGGCGAGCTTCGACGTAGCGGCTTGCTCCTCTGCCTTATGCATGTACTCCTTGGCGTTGTCGCTGGAGAAGTAGGAGAAGGAGAGCCTTCCGCTCTCTTGCCAGGACTTGAGTCCGTTCTCAGCATCCCACATTTCAACCGTCTGTCGACTCTGCGGGTTCAGGTTTCCAAGGTGGACCCCTGTTTGTACCCCTCAGCTGATTACGACTGATAAGTGAGGAAACAACCTGTAATCGGCAGGCTGCGGCGCGGTGCCTCGAAGAGAACTTTGTTCAAAACATCCCTGAGCCCTCCTGCTGATCCCTGAAAGCTATCCACCGCAATGGTGAGCCAAGTGCTGCCAGAGGTAGAGAGGATCCTGTTGTAGATATCACATGTCCAGAAAATTATGTGATTAGACAAATGTTCCTGCTTTGATTCCTACACGTCTGTATCGAGGACTCTGCAATTTGTGCCTCTTCCTGCATCATGAAGTCAACAACTGCTCGCCATACTCCCGTCGCCCTCCCCCTCACTCTCACCATGGCTTTCCCGATCACTACTGCCTGGTCCCTCATGTGAGACTGGCAGTCATGCTGCAGCTGGTTGTACTTAACATTGAGTCTGGTGAGCGCTAGGAGGGTCAAAGCGTTCGTGAGCAGCAGCAGTCCGCATGCCGCTGCCGCTCCCCCGCTCCCCCTCCCCGCCATCCCGACCCAGAGCCCCGATGTCCCAATCGATAAAAATCAATGACTCCAACCGATTGAAATCAATTTGCCCGACGTGCTGCATCGAACCGATTTGGATCATACTGGATTCGTCGGTTTGATTCATTGGGGGAATGTGGGGATGAGGGTCAAAGATGGTTTGATGTCCACCCCTCGTTTTTTCAAACGGTGGGGTGGAGAAACCAGGGTGGGTGGCAAAGATGCATAGGAGGTCATATCAGAAACATAGGGGGAAGTACTCCCCATCGACCGAAATCTACGTATATGGCATAGTAGTGGTCCTAGGAATAAGACTATGAGCTATTTTTCCACCCCTTTATGGTCTCACCACCCCGTCGGTATAGATCAGGACCCCTTCATGTATAACCCCCACCCCCTCTTATTCAGCCCGCGTTCGAAGATCGTTCCATCCACATTCCCCAAAGAGGATGGTACCCACCCTCATCTAAGACTCGAGCACCCCACCGTTCCCTCAAGCACCCCTGACTTATCCACCCCCATGGATCAATACCCTCAATACAGTACCCCACTACCCCAAAGTATTGGAAGGTACCCCCAACCATGAGGGAGAGTCCTGGTCCACGTCCTGACATATGAAAGAACCCGCAGGATTCGTGAGGTATGGGGTAGCCCCCAACCTACATTCATTCTGACCACCCCCAAACCAGTTTATCCTACCCCTTCCCACTCGCTTTCTGGTGGTAGATACGAGAGGGGTACCACAAGAGGAAACGAGACCACCCTGGTTGTACAACCCCGCATCTCCGCCACAATCCCCGACGCTCTAGTGAACGGGTGAATGTGATAGCGCACAGCACTGTACAGATATTCAACTGCAGAACAGACAACAGCGACTTGCAAGCAGTCTAACATAGCACAGGGAAGCAGCGTACTCTTGCAGCAGATCACTCCAGCTTGATATACAGGTACCTGAGCCTCACCCCTCCATGATGGGAACAGAGCGACGTGCGAAAAAAGATGGCGATGGCAGTCGACTTTCAGATAGTAATATAACGACGGACCTGTACAGCAAGTGGATACATCAGGTTTGCTCAGAAAATGAGGACAGCAATGCGGCTGTCGCAGGCGAGCCGAGCAGCAACGCAGGCAATCAGGATGGGTCTCCGAAAATGGAAAATGACGACTCTCGGGAGTCCTCCCCGATGGACGATGCTTCTTCCTTGCATAGCTGGAATGCACAGACTGTGGGAAGAGGGACATCTGTTACTTTCATCAAGTGGCTCCATCTGAAGCACTGTGAAGCGAAACTGGCGGGTGCTTCAGACGACGTAACTCCGAGTGAGGATAGCGTTCCGAATGAAGGCAGCGGTATGTGCGCTAGCACCCCAGAGGACATTTCGGATACAGAGATGCCAAGCACTCAGTCGAGAGTAGAAAACCTGCCGGGCGAGTCCGATTTCTACACTCATGCTTCCAAGGAAACGGTCCTGTCCTCATCCTCGTCCTTCCACGCGGAGGATTCGCAATCAGTGATCGACAATTTACCTGGGGAATCGGACTTCTACAAAAACGTTGCAGCCAGATCACCATCGCCAAGAGAGTTGAAGAGCAAGAAGAAGAGCTTGCAAGAGAAAGCAGTAGAGAAAGCGATGAGCGTTGTCAAAACTATTTGAAGGTGCCGTGCATTCGAGTGAAGTGTGTGAGGTAATCAACAGACCGCTTCTTTCAAGGATGAATGAATACCAGTTCTAATGCTCGATGCTTCAACGCTTCAATGCCTGAATAAAGAGATTCGAAACTTGGGCAACATGAGCACTGTACTAGCTCAATTCCTTGCGTGTCTCCTTGCGTGTCCGATCTCCTTGCGGCACGATTTCAGAGCACTGAATCACGTAACTATGACAGGGTAGCTATGGTGTTCTCTTAGAGGCACGAAGGCAGCAAGGGCTCTGACGTCTGTTGGATCTCTCAGTATTACAACCCCTGTTGGGCGACAGTGTTTGCAAAGTATGGGTGGTACGGCCCTGGGTATGTCCTGTACTGGTACGATTAGCTGAACCTCGAGGAGGAACAGGCACAACAGCCCTAATATGATGCACGGCGAGGGATTCTCGCTCAGGCTCGTGCATGATTTCCCTCGACTATGCTGAAAGATGATCGTCAACATCTGTTGCCGCTCCGAGAGACAAAATTCCTTTACTCAAAGTTAAAAGAGACAAAATAGTCCCACGGTCAGTTCTAACTAGTAATGATCTAACTTAACTTTGAGTAAAAGTTATGCGCACTTCGCTTAAATCCGAACGGGTTCGAGTTAGTAGGGATTTAACTTAACTTTGAGTAAAAGTGATGCGCACTTCGCTTAAATCCGAACAGGTTCGAGTTAGTGGGGATTTAACTTAACTTTGAGTAAAAATGGTTCGAGTTATTTACCCGATCCATGACTCTGTGACCTGATTCTCCGAAAGGTTCGGAGATACCAGTCCATGAGTGTGCTCGCCCTGAACTTCTCGTGTGTTCAAGAACTTCTGAGTTGGTCTACGATGTCATCATGATGACTAGTAACAGTAATAGAGAATCGGAAACTGTTCAACTCCGATAAACCTTCTCCTCCATCCACGACGATGGCGGGTACCCAAACAAGTCCTCCTCGCCCCTTCGCTGCCTGCACCCAGTGCCGTCGCCGCAAGACTCGCTGTGACGAGCAGCTTCCTTGCACCCGCTGCCTCCAGGCCGGACGCGGCGATGACTGCTCTCGACCAGAGGCTGGTGATGCCGCGCTCGGGACCCCAACGGCATCACGTGGGCTTCGCCGCAGGTCGAGCAAGGCCTGCCTGGGCTGCCAGCTCAAGAAAGTCCGCTGCGGGGAAGCGCGGCCCTGCGTACGCTGCTGCCGGACAGGGTCCGTGTGCTACGAGGAAGGGGGGCTTCCTCTGGGAGTGGACTTGCAGGTGTATCAGCGGAGGCGAGAGCAGGTGACCCAAGCGTGCGAGCGCTGCAGGAGGTCGCGACTCAAGTGCGACGCCGAGAGGCCTTGCGGGCGATGCGTCAGGTCAGGCCAGACGTGTCTGGACGGACGGAGGCGGAGGCGGAGGAGCGGGGCGATGGGGGATGAAGAGGCAGCAGAGGCCCAGAGCTGCTGGACATTGAACGAGCTCGTCAGCCCAGACAGCATGCCGGGAGTGTACCTGACGGAGGGGCCCTGGGGCGAAGAGGAAGAGCAAGATGGATTCCCTCTAGGAGGGTACCTCCTGTCACCGAGCACGGAGGAGGAGGTCACCTGGGAGAGGCCGGAGAGGCAGGACGATCCTTCACCTTTGTTTGCTTGGTAGGAGGAGGGCTGGATGGAGGAGTGCTTGAGGGACTAGGAATAAAGCAAGGTTGTGATCAGGTTGAGCAGAATTGTCGTGAAATAGGCAGCAGGATCAGGTTGAGCAGAATTGTCGTGAAATAGGCAGCAGGAGGCTGTAAGACAATCGCCACTCTGAGTGAAGAAGTGGGTGGGCTGGTGGACAAGAATATTCTTTCTCGCGTAGCTGGAAGGCGCAGTGATAGAAATGGATGTTTCCTTTCATTAAAATGATCGTTGATCAGGCATGCATCATTAGCAAAGGCTGCAGTCGCAGAGCTAGGATCAAACTCTCCTTCCCCACCAGAGATCTCCCTGCTACCAATCAAACAAAGGTGAAGGATCGTCCTGCCTCTCCGGCCTCTCCCAGGTGACCTCCTCCTCCGTGCTCGGTGACAGGAGGTACCCTCCTAGAGGGAATCCATCTTGCTCTTCCTCTTCGCCCCAGGGCCCCTCCGTCAGGTACACTCCCGGCATGCTGTCTGGGCTGACGAGCTCGTTCAATGTCCAGCAGCTCTGGGCCTCTGCTGCCTCTTCATCCCCAATCGCCCAGTTCCTCCCCTCCGCCTCCGTCCGTCCAGACACGTCTGGCCTGACCTGACGCATCGCCCGCAAGGCCTCTCGGCGTCGCACTTGAGTCGCGACCTCCTGCAGCGCTCGCACGCTTGGGTCACCTGCTCTCGCCTCCGCTGATACACCTGCAAGTCCACTCCCAGAGGAAGCCCCCCTTCCTCGTAGCACACGGACCCTGTCCGGCAGCAGCGTACGCAGGGCCGCGCTTCCCCGCAGCGGACTTTCTTGAGCTGGCAGCCCAGGCAGGCCTTGCTCGACCTGCGGCGAAGCCCACGTGATGCCGTTGGGGTCCCGAGCGCGGCATCACCAGCCTCTGGTCGAGAGCAGTCATCGCCGCGTCCGGCCTGGAGGCAGCGGGTGCAAGGAAGCTGCTCGTCACAGCGAGTCTTGCGGCGACGGCACTGGGTGCAGGCAGCGAAGGGGCGAGGAGGACCAGTCAGCGCCATCATCATTTTGCTACCCTCGACTAGCACGGAGGGTAGTATTATTAGTAGTATAATAGCAGTATTATAGCAGTGTAGTATAGTTGTATTGGACACCGACTTGTAAAGAGAAAGAAAAACATACAAGTTAAAGAACCTAGAATGCTACAACAGAAAGGCAATAATTTTACTAATAAAGGTATAAACTCAGCATCGCCTCGGTTCCGTTTTGAAAATTCAACAAATTCCCCCGTATTTTTGAATTTTTCTGAACGATTTTGGAATCTTCAGCTCATTCACATCACCCATGACCAACAATAACAACAATGAACCATCCCTCGATGTCGACAACATCATCAATTCAGTTCACCAAAACATCAATTTCCAACCGCCTGATCAGAATGACTTTGAAGAAACACTCACCATCACAGATGATGACATATCCCAGATCCTCGACAATGTCACAAATCCCTCTAAATCCAATACTATGAACAATACTGGTAAGAGAAAACCTGCCCTTGCACCAAGATATCTAGAATTCTTCTTCTTCTTCCACAGCAGTGCCTTGAAAACAAATTTCTCATTCTCATCTGTCATGACATCAATGAATGTGATTGGAAATGTTATGTATCTCTCATGTTTGCGACGAACAAATCTTTTAACCTCAGAAAAGGTAGAATGTACGGAATATACAAGACCTTGCATAAATACATTGCTATTCACATAAGACTTGAAGTAAGCAAGAATGTCATCCAATGTCACTGGGATGTTTCTGCATAATACCTTTGTTGTATCGATCCCATTCCTGCTGTCAAATGCTATATCATCTTTATCTGTAGGATATATTACATCCTTGTTATTTGCGAAATATTCAAGCTCCTCAATCCCTCCTGTAATATATGTTTGATCATTGTTCTTGTTATAAACTGTACTATCACTCTTATTTTCCATGCCACATTCAAACACTCCAAGCTTATGCTTGCCTAAGGATCTTGAAGGGCCTATGTGTTGAACACCAAATCCATCAAGGAGATTGACCTTGTGTTTTGTTCCTGTCTTTTTTGATTTAATAACAATCAATTCCTTGTCTCTCCTCGATTGCAACTTTATCACATGATATTTTCCAACATGTTTAGAGGCATATTGTTCTCTTGATAGAGAACCCCGTATTTTTGCAATTCTCTGTTTGTATTCAGCTTCCTCCTTAAGGTTTAACTTTCTGCGCTTCCTTAAGATTTTACGAATGTCTTCCTCATCCTCATCCTCATCCTCATCGTCTTCCTCATCCTCATCCTCATCCTCATCCTCATCCTCATCCTCATCCTCATCCTCATCCTCATCCTCATCCTCATCCTCATCTTCATCCTCATCCTCATCCTCCTCATCCTGCTCTCCTTGTTCCTCCTCCTCTTGACTATCTTCCTGATCCTCTTCTGCTTCCTCCTCATCCTGCTCTCCTTGTTCCTCCTCCTCTTGAGTATCTTCCTGATCCTCTTCTGCTTCCTTCTCATCCTGCTCTCCTTGTTCCTCCTCCTCTTGACTATCATCCTGATCCTCCTCTTCTTCCTCATCCTGCTCTCCTTGTTCCTCCTCCTCTCGACTATCTTCCTGATCCTCTTCTGCTTCCTCATCATCCTGATCCTCCTCTTCTTCCTCATCCTGCTCTCCTTGTTCCTCCTCCTCTTGACTATCTTCCTGATCCTCTTCTGCTTCCTCATCATCTTGCTCCTCTTCTTCATCATCATCCTGCTGTCCTTCTTCTTCCTCCTCTTGACTATCTTCCTGATCCTGGTCTCCTTGTTCCTCCTCTTCTTGACTATCTTCCTGATCCTCCTCTGCTTCCTCCTCTTGACTATCTTCCTGATCCTCTTCTTCTTCATCATCCTGCTGTCCTTCTTCTTCCTCCTCTTGACTATCTTCCTGATCCTCTTCTGCTTCCTCATCATCTTGCTCCTCTTCTTCATCATCATCCTGCTGTCCTTCTTCTTCCTCCTCTTGACTATCTTCCTCATCCTGGTCTCCTTGTTCCTCCTCCTCTTGACTATCTTCCTGATCCTCTTCTGCTTCTTCTTCCTCATCCTGGTCTCCTTGTTCCTCCTCCTCTTGACTATCTTCCTGATCCTCTTCTGCTTCCTCATCATCTTCTGCTTCCTCTTCATCCTGCTCTCCTTCTTCCTCCTTTTCTTCTTCACCCTGTTCCTTTTGCTTTTCATCATCAACCTTTTTTTGTTTTGTCTTAGGAAGAGTTATCCTAGCCTTATCAACTTTTTGTTGCGGATGCTTATCATATTTGTGTTGTAGAATATATGTTCGAGCTTTTCTCTTTCTTGTATCTTTTGTAGGTAGTTTTGAAGAATTTTGTAGCATTTCAGGTAAAATCTCTGATTGCTGCATCGTCCTAGCTATCATAGTGGTTGAGGATGGAGCCTGCTCTTGTTGTTCTTGCTGGATCTTCTTAGATGTCTTCTTGGTTGGGGATGGAGCCTGCTGTTGTTGCTGGATCTTCTTAGCTGTCTTCGTGGTTGGGGATGGAGCCTGCTGTTGTTGCTGGATCTTCTTAGCTATCTTCGTGGTTGGGGATGGAGCCTGGTGTTGTTGCTGGATCTTCTTAGATGTCTTCTTGGTTGGGGATGGAGCCTGCTGTTGTTGCTGGATCTTCTTAGCTGTCTTCGTGGTTGGGGATGGAGCCTGGTGTTGTTGCTGGATCTTCTTAGATGTCTTCTTGGTTGGGGATGGAGCCTGGTGTTGTTGCTGGATCTTCTTAGCTGTCTTCTTTGTTGAGGATGGAGCCTGGTGTTGTTGCTGGATCTTCTTAGCTGTCTTCTTTGTTGAGGATGGAGCCTGGTGTTGTTGCTGGATCTTCTTAGCTGTCTTCTTTGTTGGGGATGGAGCCTGGTGTTGTTGCTGGATCTTCTTAGCTGTCTTCTTTGTTGAGGATGGAGCCTGCTCTTGTTGAGATACTTCTGAAGATTGTTGAGATGCTTCCAAAAGCTGTTGAGATGATGCTTCTTCATTGCTTAGCTTAAGGAGAGTATTATACTGAATATTATTAGAGGAATCGACCATAAAGCTTTGAATTTCCTGTGATGCGCACTGCTTGAAAGTATGAAGTAACATGCAATCATTTTCCACCTCTAGTGATTGTATGCTATCTAAAATTATAGTATTTCTATCCAAGAATTTTTTTACATGAGCATCAAGATAAAATATAGGTAAAAATAATATCAAAGATTTTTCTTTATATACAACAGGAAATACTTAAGGAGGATAAGATATGTCTTATAGACTATTACCATGGGTTGATGAGAGCAAACTTGACATAGAAGGTCTTTGTTTGAATAATAATCCGACTGCTATGAAAATCATAAATATAAAAATCGATGAGATGACCGACAAGGCTTGGAACAATCTATCATGCAATGAGAACGCTTCAGACATCCTTATTGAGAACATTGACAGAGTAGAGTTTAATGCTCTTAGAGTGCTTTCTTTTTACACTTGGGACACCCTTGAATAGGCATCACAATCGTAATGGCGTTTTTGCACTCTAAGTTCTAGGTTTTAGAGGTCGTCACCTCCTAACCCGTCTCCGGTAGTTTCGTTACCGGATAGTGTTTGTCCATCCAACAGCCTTGTTAGGATGTTGAACGCCCCGGCTACATTCCGATTCCACCACCTGCTACAGCAACTATCGTTTGTACAACGAAGCAGATGGTGTCTCATGATCGGGTTGCCAGTTGCCTTTCTTAGGCATCGTCCCTTACAACTCGGACATTCTTGGGAGGTGTAGTGTTCTGGCACTGTTGTTGTTTTGAACAGCGATTCAAACCTTCTCCTTATTCCAATGCCTGGGGTTGGTCCTGCCGAGCATCGTAGCGCGTTTGGATTCTTTCCCCAGTTGCCCCACCCTATAATGATATCTCCATGCCTTTGGACCTCCTTCAAGGCATTCATACGCATAACTCCTGACGCACACCTCGCCTTGCTCAGGTTTGTTTGCGGCCGTTTGAATGTTTCCAACACCCTATGCATGAACCTATGTTCGGAGCTCTTAGTCTTGTTGTAAACCAAGAATTTGAACTCTCTAAAGACTGGATGAGAATAACATTCAAGCAGCATGTGTTCCATCCTCTTCCTGGAACAGGCATAGCGTCGAAACATCTCAGGATGGCATGACCGTTTCTGGAACCGGTTCATCACCTGTGTCTCATACTCCTCTAGGCCGCAGCCTCGGCGCCTCTTCAGACTGGTTCTCAACCTTATTGTCTTATGCGTGTCCATGTCTCTCTGCCCCTTGGTGTAACAGATAGTCTTTATGCCATCTGTTATTGCTAGGATGTCTCTCTTCCCAGGGTCACATCCCAAGAGCTTCGATGTCTTTAGCTCTTCTCTTGTTACCTGCTTGCTATCTTCTTCATCATTGGCCTCCTGACATGCTACCCTCTTCTTCCTGCCAGAGAAGGCCTTCCGTCCAAACATGCTGTTATCGATCACCTGGAATGAGATTGAAACACCGTCCGTTACAACAGCATTGTCAAACATCCATTGTGTTCCCTTGGGATCGTTCTTACGAACAACCCCATCAAGCTCCTTCCATTGACGGCATGTCTTCAGGTTTGTCAAGAAGCTCCACATCTCTGTTGCATACAATCCGGCCTCTCTATTGGATGTTGCCTTCCGGCCAAAGATCTTCTCAAAACTTGCTAGCATATCACCCTTGTTCTTTATATTTAGACTTACTCCAAACTCAGCAAGATAAGATCTCTTGAAATCATCAAGCCTATCCTTAGTCATCAGCAGCTGCGATAAGCCGGATGTATCAATCCGTATGTGCATCGGAACAAACGATGAATAGAAGGGCAGTGGATTGAGCAGCCTCCTCTCCTTATGCTCTACAGAAGAGAAGTCTGTCTCTAAGGCCTGATTTATCATGACCATCTTTGGAAGATAGACCCAAGGGTTGGCCTTCAGGTCATAGACCCTTGGAAAACCGCCCTTATTTATCTTAGAGGGGAATAGAGATGAATAACTTGTTGCCTCAAGGCCTAATCTTTCCATAAAGTCTGGTTCCAGGTCGAGGGATGAGTCATAAATATAGGCATTGGTATATATTGCCGCCACTCTGTTTGCCTCAGACTTATTGAAGCCCTTAGCCAACATATCACATCGGATGAAGCGTTTGACATATTTTGAGAAATGGGCTTCGATGTTGTTTTTATACGCGGTAAGAAGGTTGTCGATGGAATATGCTAAGACATGCGATAGAGAGAGGTCCGTTTCGTTCTCTTTATCATTTGGAGCACGCTCGTACAGCCTCTTATACTCATCTAACATGTCATTGAAGACGTCTATCTTGACAGATTGTTCAGGACCAACACCACGGACTGGAGGCCTTGTTATACCCTGGACTATGCTGCAGGCCATGGATATATGGAAGTGCTCAAGCTCAAGTTCCTTGTCATCTGAATCAAGGGGATATGAGCTCTGGAACCATCGCAGATAATATGACCGGACGAGTATGGACGCATCTGACATGATCCTATGAGCTGCCTTGACAGCATCCTTGATTGTGACTAGGTCCTCACACTTGAAGAAGCCCTTCGCCTTTCGTTTTACAATCCTAATGTTTGACATTCCGCTCTAACATAGTCTCTTGTATGCTTATAATTAAGATCCAAATCCTTATATCCTTTTATGATGTCGATTGCCTCTTCAATACGGTCTGCCAGACACTTCTTTGTTGTCTTGGTTCGGAAGGCTCTCTTCAACAGAGAGAAGACCTCCTCAATGGGGTTGCATCTTGGCGAGTACGGAGGGATATAAAGAGGAACAAGCTTATGCCGTTCCAACAAGCCAACAACCTCCTTAGACCTATGGAAGGCCACATTATCCATAAGGATGGCTTTTGTGCTCTTAGGAAGCTTAGGAATAAGACCCTATAAAAAAACTAAGAATGAAGCCTTTGTAAAGGCCTTGTTTACACGGTTGTAAGAAACAATGCCAATAGAAGAGTGAACAGCCATGACCAATGATACTCTTTCACGTTTTGATACCTTGATTGCGTTGGGTTGTCTTCCCTTGGGGAAGTAGCCATAAAAAGGGTTGCCAACATTGCAGAATGAGGTCTCATCCAGACAAACGATATTGTCGTTCAATAATGGATCTATCGAGGCCTTGAAGTCTGAAAACCTGGCCTTTCTATCACTTGGATTTGTTGGATTGATATGGTGGATGCTGAAGCGATTTGCCTCCGCCTTTGGCGGTCGGCAAAAAGCGACAAAGTCGCGACGCCTTGATATCTTAGATTGTTTTAGGACTCGATAAAGAGATGTCAATGATGGAGAGATGTCATAAGATAGGTTCAACGTATATTGGATTTGCTTTAGATGCATGAAGGCGATGTCTTTGTTTTGATAGAAGAGGTGCTTTATGACATCATTTAGATGAGGATATTTATGACGGCGCTTGAAACGTCGTTTGCGTTTGTCTTTGCGTCTGATAGTCATTCTAAGGTTTGACCACCATCTCTGAATGGTGGATTTGCTAATGCCGGTGATGTATGAAGCCTTCCACTCTCAAACTTCAATGAAAGTTTGAGAGAAAGACTCTTTACATTGTTATAAACTTCAAGAGCCTTGATAACCTCTCCAGCCGGATAAGTTCTAGAATACATCCTTACATATTCAAGTACAAAAATAAGTGTTGCCTGTGGCAAGCTTCGCTTCCCAACATAAAAACGCAAACAACTCTAAGAGCACTAAGATATATGCTAAGATCATCAAGCACAGGTTTGATATTATAGATTGGTCTGTGCTTTCAGCAAAGGATGATGAAGATGCAATTGAATTGTTGAAGGATAATTTGGGTGAGATTGATTGGAAGGTGCTTTCAGCAAACAAGGGTGCTATCGATATCTTGAGAGACAACCTGTCCAATGTTTATTGGAGTGAGTTATCAAAGAATGAGAATGCGTTAGATATTCTGAAGGCCTATCCAGAAAAGATTGTGCACGATTCTATATGGTTTAACAAAAATCCTGATGCTGTGGATTTGCTTGATATATCTAAATGCCACATCACAAGCCCTTTGGACATAAACAATTTTCTCAATAGATTAGATCTTAAGAGATATTTGAAGTTCATTCAAGAGAATGTGACACATATATCAGATAAGCTGGAGCGCACACAATTCAATTTGCTTGACACGATGAATGAGGGCTTGCTCAATATTATCATAGATAAATGTGCATACTCATTTACTGAGGAAGAGTGGTTTGAGATATGTATGAATCCCTTTGTTCTTTAGGGAGTGATTTAGCACATCTAAAGAACCCCATTCTGTTGGTATTGTTTGCTTGTTTCTGCTGATACTGCAAAACATCATAGGATGCTCCAAATCGATCTAACATCTTGTTTATGAACAGTTGCTCATCACTACAACAGTATATGCATCTAATTTTACTATTCTTGTTAAGAAAATCTTGAACAATTAGAATGAATTCTTCATCTGATATAGGATTTGCCTGACCTATATCAAAATTTTTATCCGATCCACGAAAATGGATTCCAACCGATGTTGAGCGATCTATAGATGGTATATTTGTTTTAATAGAATCTGAGAAATCAAAGAACTTATTAAAAATATGATTTGCTGTATAGAAGCTTTCCTCACAGAAAGGGAATTCACAATCATTGGCTATCTTGTAGCTTGACACATCTATTCTATGTATATCGGTTGCTGGCAATAAATAATGCTTGTGAGGAACTATAATTAAAGGAATGATATTATCATACTCCAATGTGTGAATATCAAAATATATCCTAGTTTCATCATCAATTATATTAGATGTTACCATATGATTCAATATCTCAAGCAACCATGTCAAGAATTGTCCAAAGATCCCCTCACTAAAATCCTCCTTATTCGACGTGATAAGAGCATCTTTCAATGCCATCTTACAATATTAATCTTTGGATTCATCACACATATTATAAAAATGGATATAAACAGAAGAACTTTGTTATATTTATGTTATATGCTGCACATTGATGAACAGAATCTGTCATTCAGACCCTTGTTTAACTTGTAAAGTTTTCCGCAGGGGCATGTGTGATCTATCTCATATTCATAACAATAACCACAATATGCCTCATGCCTTGATTTTGCTATGATCACACAGTCTTCAAATACATGATCACAGTTTTTGCACCTCCATACCACATAGTTTTCAGTGCAAACAAGACATATATCCATCCTTCCATTCTCTGACTTTGGCAGCCATTCACAACACATCTGGCATAAGAAGTTATTGTCATTGAACTCTTTTATATCATCATGACATATGTCGAGATATCTCTCAAATATTATGTCTTTGACAGGTGCTAAGATGGTCTTATCAAATTCTATAGAATTGAACTTTTGGACAAATGGATCCATTGTATATAGTATATCAATTTCCTTATATAGATCAATATCATTTTTAGGCCATGGACCTATCTAACTTCTATGTGTTTGGAGATATCTAACAAGCAATAAAAACATTGTTGAGTAGTTACTTAGTTATGTTTTACTGCATTTTTTTGTGATCTATGATTATTTATAATCAATCTTTGTAAAAGATGTATATATAAGATATGTTTAGACATTTACTATAGGATGCTACACATTCATAACATTGTTGCAACATAGTTTGTGTGTTCAATCTTGATTGTCTTCTTCTTTTGCAATGTCACTAACATGCTGGATTCAACAAGGATATTAGCAATATATGCCTCAAACACGGCATGCATCAACCTCATTGAATCATCATCCAGTTTTTTCTTTGGTGCGTATTGCAACACGATCTCATTGATGCATCCTACAACAATCTCACATGGGGTCTTGGGTTCAAATCCATCCAATATCTCTTTTGCTGTCTTGTTGTTGTGGTATTCGGTTATGTAGTTGAAGGCCATTGCTAGAGCAAGATTGTGCCTGTGCAAAGATTCTAGGCAATCCTTCAATGTGATGCTGTTCCTCCTGATGTCCAGCACAGCGCGCATCAGCATATCCATATATGTCATAAGATGCCCTGTGATGCTAGCATATGCCTCCTTGGATACCTTGATGCCTTGATTTAGATATCTCTGGAGCATTACCTCATACGTGGCCTTTGTAATGCCCTGTGCGGATTTATTGGCATATGCCTTGGATTTGATCTTGAAGTCCTTTGGCTTTCCTAGGACATCCTCAAAGAATGCGGCCCTGAGTGATTCATCCCTCATGATAGTCTCCTTGACATTAGATAGAGTGATGGGTTGTTTTCCATTCTGCTTCAATTGGCTGAATATCTCTTCCAACATGTAAGATATGCACGCATCCAGCGCAACATATAGGTCCATGGATGTCTTCAAGGATGTCCTGTTCTTTACAATTTCCTCTATCATATCCACGCTGAATGAGACCTCAATCTCTTCATAGTTGTAGCGTTTGATATTTATCAGATTGCACTCAGAGAGTGTATTGGCGATCCTGCTGGTAAGATGTGTAGCAAGATCACGGCTGAGCACCATATGGATGGCTAGGAACATATCGGGATATGCCTTGACCGCAGTGCGGTTTGGGAGCTGCTCATAGATGCTCGATATAGCATCAACAATCCTCTCAATAAGTGACAGCACAGCATCCCGGCAGAAGATGGTCACATCATTGTTGTTATCCTCAAGAGGCATTCGCATCTCATGCTTGAGGAAGGCCTTGAAATGATCCTCGAATTGTTTTTGGAAAAATTGTGTAATGTGTGGCGGCATTTTTGTTCTTGTTCAAAATGTTATACAACATATTATCATTTTGAATGGCATAAGCACAAATATCGCAACAAATAAAAAAGATTGAATATATGTGTGGCTTAGAGATTTAGGATGGTGTAGAGGTTGCTATGATATCATTTAGTAGTTTGATGCATTTCTTGATGACTACGATGTCATCATCATCCATCTTGCGCTTAGCAGATGTGACAATTGGCTCATCTGGCCAGAAATCCTTGTATTTCTCAATATAGCCCATGCTTCTTGCAGTAACATCTTCCGGGGTGCAGTATTCACCCCATGATTTGAAGAATATCCTATTGGGAAAGTCAGCATGCACATACCATTGGCTCTTGCCACCGCGCACGAGTGAATCCCAGAATGGCAATGCCTTTGGATCGCAATAATCCAGATAAGGGATGCCCTGTGTAGTTAGTTTGGTGTGTGCATCTGGTTTATCCTTGTTATCTTCATATGCATCAAAGTAATGCTTGTAGTATAGATCATAAGACAATCCCATTCGCTTGTCGTCCATTGGAAATGCTACAGTGCATTGACCATTTCGTTGGTTGTACTTGTACACATTGTTGCGGTCTGGTCCATAGAGGTAGTACCATCCATCATCTATTTTCATGCTCTCATTGAATATGCGACAGAATGCCCTGTCATAAGGCTTGTATTGTGCAATGGTCATCTTTTAGTTGATCGCTCTTGACTTATAGAGCATCATTTTTTGAGATATTATCAACATTACTATATATAATCAGATCAATAGTAAAAAATTCTTTATATTGTTGTCGTGGTATAATCAAATCTACTTAGAGAGTCATAATCAAAGAGATGGCTAAGACCTTTATCATAGGCAACAGCCTGCCTTATCAATATATCTTTTGGTAAATAGATATTTTGACTTGATAAAAATCACTGTATATTTAGATTTATTATCTTACAAGAATCTTATGCATCTATCTCTTCATCATCACTGCCTCTAACATCATCAGATTCAATTTCACTTGTATATTCAATATCATCATCCACATCTCCATCCCCATACCCATCCTCATCCTCCTCATCATCTCCATCCTCATTGTTACCATCCTCATCAGAATTATAATCAGGATCATAGTCATAGTCATAATCATAATTTTTAACAGTTTTTGATATTGTTTTAAATAGTTGCAATTCAGAGATATTTGATATATCTGGAACTTCAAAGTAAATCTTTACAAATGTTGCTTGATTCTTATTCTTTTTGACTGTTTCATTGTATTCTGCATAATCATCAAGATAATGATAACAATCAAATGCATTTGCGGCATGAAACACAAAGCGTTTGTATTCATACATATTGAAGTTGATCTGTTTGATATTCATTGAATTGATGCAGAGGTTCAACATATGATACGCATCTGCAATCGGTTCCATAAATTCTGTCAATAGTGTTCTATTTTTACCCTCATATGGCATGTCATTCAATCTATTTGACATTAGAATTATGCATTTTGATAATGAAATTATGAGCTCTTGATATGTATAGAACTCTTTGGCTATGAGTTCTATATTTGAGAACAAGGTCTTGCATTTATCATTGATCTTTGAATCATCCAAGAATGAGAACAATGGGTTCTGTATTATTCTTTCTTTCAGTTTATTTGCACAATTTTTTATCTTGAGAATGTTGTTGCATTTACGCAATATTTCCTTCAAATCCCTCAGATCGTACAATCGATTGTCCTTTGTCACTTGCTTATGCACATTCAAGATATTATGTTTATTGGAGAGTGCATTTTCAAGTTTCTCGATAAGCAATTCTTGTTCATCAGAATCATCGGCAATGATGATCTTGCTCAATCTAAGAGCAAGTTTCAAGATGTAGTTCAGTGAGTACATTGGACTGTATTGCTCTGTTTATAATTCTTGTTCATTTTTGAGATGGATAATGGAAAAATATATACAGAGTAAGTAGTTTTTTATAAGGTTTTGTCGTCAAAAATATATGATATTATTTATTTTTTCACAGCATTTTTGAAACAAATCTAAAAACACAAAAAGTGTTTTTATAGTATTTTTGATCATTCACCAACCTTCATCAAAGTGTCGATCACAACTCCTTGAGCAATACATGTAGTCATATCCATCACACAGCTTATATATACGACCACAGGGGCATTTGAAGTCTATGCGTTCATTGTAACACTCATGGCAGTGTGCTATGATATCTGTGAAACCATCTTTAGATCGCACAAAACCAATATTGGCAATGTCATTATAATCGTATTTATATTCACAATGCTCACACCTCAGAACAACATAAGTATGTCTGCATTCATAACACATCTGCAATACATTGAAACGGTCAGTATAATCCCAACAGAAAGAACCATAGTGTTTGCGTCTGTGTTCTTCATCATTCCTGCAACCTGCTTTGCAGCACCATTGAGCACACATAGAACACATGAAATGATTCATTCTGAATTGATTGATGTTTTTTTTACAGATATTCTTATACTGCTCGAAGATGACATCTTCAACAATAACAAGGGGAGTTTCATGAAGCTTGATGCTCTTGAACTTTTCTGTGAAGGGATCCATGCCTTGATGACCATACTGATGTGCTGGCTTCATTTTTGATATTAGATGTATATTATTCATACAAAAAGTAGGATTAGTGTTCTTACAAATAAAGTCAGATCTTTTCCATCTAGAGGGTATATATTTTATGGTATTAAAGTAAAAATGTTGCCATCAGCAAGCAAGACATCATCTATATCTGCAATATCTGATTTTGATGCGCCATTCAAACGAGGGGCAGAACTGACCCTTATGAGATATGATATATCAGACATCTATCCAAGCAACAGTTTTTACAGATTTGTCAAGAATTCAAACCTTAGAAAAATAGAAAGGATCTTAGCAGATGAGAAAGAATTGCAATCATATGCAAAAAAATTCAATACAACAGAACCAAAACTCCAAAAGATATTGAGGCAGATGAAGAGCAGGCTTGAGATTATGTCAATGGAGAAATTGCAAAGCAAGCAGGATACATCATCTAAGTTGCCTTCAGCAAGCAGAGCATCACCGAGGTTTATCCATCTTCCGGACGACGTACAAGAATTGATATTTGCTAAGATTGAGGATGTATATTCATATAAATTGCGTGATTGGATCGATAAGGATGTCATATTCAACAACAATGATCAAAACAAGTACAAAATCCTTTGTAATAATAGCAGCACTGGTGCAATTGAGTATCTGCATTGCTTGATAAAGAAGAACCTGCTCTCAATAGATACTCTTGATTTTGAAATGTTGGCAAAGCATAATAATTCAAAAGCAATAAAGCTGATAGAGAAATATTGGCATTCACAACTTACTTCACAAGAAGATACTTTGATCAATCTTTGCGGCAATCCAAATCCTGCTGCATTGAAATTCTTGAACAAGCACATTAGAGAACTGAATACCTGTTATGATAAGGATAAGGTCAGATACAAGAACATTGGATATGATAACCAAACCCGGATTGATCTCAAAATATTCAATAATCCTAATCCAAATATAGTGAAGATCATACACAGGATTGATGAAATCAAGGCAAATCTGAATGTAAAAGCTATCTCATCAAGCCCACATGAGGAGCTTCTTAGATTGTTGCTGGTGAATGGGAATGAGTATGATATAGATTGGTATAGACTCTGTGCAAATCCAAGTGAGATAGCAATCCAGTTAATGAAAAAGCATAGACATAATACTAAATATACGATCTTTATGAACCCAAATATAGAGGCATTCGGATTGTTTCCAGAGATAGATGAAGAGATGCAATTAATATATTTGTGCAAGAATAAGAATGAGAAGGCTACACAACTATTGATCAAGATGTATAATGATAATCATAAAATAAAATATATGATTGATAAGAATATGCAGAAGAATAATAGTGATAATATGTCATTCTTACATCACCTTGGTAAATTGAACAATGAGACCGCGATGAAATTCTTTAAGGATAATATTTATATGATCAAGAGATACACCTACAGTTATGAGAAAGAACCATTGTTCTTTATCATAAAGAATCCACACTGGATAGCTGTAGATATGTTATTGGATAGATTGAAGACTCATTATAAAGAAAATACTGATGAAAAGATAAGGTTTGTGAAAGGTCTGTGTGAAAATCCATCAGAGAGGATAATAGATGAATTGCAACATCACCAATTCTTCTATAGAAATGGAGAGAGGGTGTATATGGTTGATTGGGATAGGCTATTGCAGAACCCGGCAATATTTGTGCCTTAAACATAAAAATAACACTTCTTGGCATGAAATAAAAATTGTAAATGTTTTATTATGTGTAGGGAAGTTTTCCTATGGCAGGCCTAATCCTGAAAGATATTAGGATTTGCACTCATATATGCCATGCAACTTTCATACCCTTGGAACCATTTTTTGTTGTTTAGAAGGTTGAGTTCTTTTGTCGTGGCTGTTGCAAAATAATCCCTCATTGCATCTCCAATGTAACATATGTTCTTGACACTGTTCATGAACTGTCTTTCAGTGATCAGATCTAGTTTCCAAGTGTCATGCTCGAAAATCAACATGTTGAATCTAGTGTCAGTATCTAGCTTCTTTTTGTTTTCGAGCAAGAAATCCTTGAGCTTGATGTTGTTGTTATAGAACACATATTTCCATTTGATCTTTTGTTTGTTTTCCATAATGATATCATATGCACCATCATTCCTGCTGAGATTGTTCCAATCTACCTTGTCAAGATTCTTCTTCAAGATGTCAATTGCAATTGGATTCAGAGATAATTTAGACCAATCTATTTTATTGCATCTTTTTTGAAAGAGATCAAGGGCATGCTTGTTCCGACAATCATACCAGAAATAACTGTCAATGCGTATATTCTTGAGAATGATGTCTATGTTGTCTTCAATGAATTTATTATGGACATCTGAATTGGCATGATTATTCAGGAATTTGCTCAGATTTGTGCTATCATGACACTTGCACTCTTGAAGATTGATGATCTTAATGACATCAGGGTGTGGATTTCTCAAAAGATATTCATGATCTATCTTCGTAGGATTCTTCTTCAATATGTCAAAGGCAGCACGATTTGTAGATAGCAATTTCCAATTGACATGTTGAATATTTTTCTCAATGATGTCCAAGGCATTCTCATTCTTTGAGATATAATTCCAAAAGAGATCATAATCATCATTTGATGGATTCTTTTTCATTTCATGCAATATTTTACCAAGATGCTTGTCGCGTATAATCTTAAGAGCAGTTGGGTGTGGATTGTTTATAAGAAAATCCAGATACAGGTCATCAACATTGATCCATGGCAAGAGCTTATAATCTTCCATTGTTGTACTTATTCACTTGAAGATAGGTGGTATCATTTTTTACATCATTTCTTGATAAGTTTGTACAAATTGAACCTCCATCATTAGCTTTCTCAAAAAACAAAGACACTTTAAATAATGATTATGGTAGCTCAAAAAGTTTGCTATAAGAATTCTGATTTTCTGATAACAATGTATATATAATAAATAAATGTCCATCAGATCTATCAGTGCGGATGAGTACAATTCCTTGATGCAGAATGTGCCTAGGCGATATATCCGAACAGATCGTTCCAGTGGATCAAGTGATGAGGAGGAGTATGTTGACCTAAGACCTCTAGCAGGTTTCGCAAAAATCTCTACTGATACTATCCGTCACATTCTAAGATATGATAGAACTGTCCTTATGGCGGTTGGCTATGTATATATCCATCATCATCAGATTGGTCCTAAGATACGTGAGTTCTTAGACTTTCTGAATAATGTGGATAATGTAGAAGACCGTCGGCTTTTGTTGGAAAAGGATGATGAGATCTTCAGGTTCATATCCAGCATGGCTCATATTGCATATCAGAGATTGCCAAGCATCCCGAATTATACAGACAAGGACAACGACATGTTGAATGACATCGTCTTCAATTTCTTTGAGATTAGACATTCACCACTCAATCTTCGCAATTTTTGGTTCTGGAACAAGTTGAACAATCTATTCAATCCACCGATCTCGGATTCAATAGAAGAAGAATATGATCAGATAAGAGATGTTGCTGAAGTTTTCCGTATAAAGTATGAGGGTGCTTTTGACAGCTTATATAGTGGGCTGTCAGAAGGTGATCTGAGTTATGTGAAAGATAACTTCATGCCATCAGACCCCAACCAAGACCTTCAAGAGCTCAAGAGAATGTTAGAGAGAATGGACGCAAGATCAATAACAACATATTTCTTTCCGAAGGGAAATTCCACGAATAACTCACCATCCTCAAAATCCAGCAGCATCAGAGATAGGCAGCCCACACCCCTTAATAACTCTAAGTGTTCTAACGCATTGAGGCACATCGACAACAAATCCTTGCAGCAATTGTTGCAGAGCATATGCCCATATCTCACAAACGAGTCTCAACCAATCAATGATACAATAACTAAGATGTTCAACAGGAAGGTTTTCTATTCGAATACCATAAACATTCGTGACCCTGATATGAACGAGCTTGAATACATGGAGGGATTATTCAGAAGAAATCCAGAAGATATATACTTTGATATTGCACGTGTAAGACACAACACCTCTGTTGACGCTGGTGGGCTCACTCGGCAGTTCCTTACATCATTATCCAAACAATTCGTGGCCAAGTATCTCAAGAGGTTGTCCAATAGAAATAACATATACATCTTCAAGAGGGACCTTGCTGATGATGATTACAAATTTGTTGGTGCCATTCTTATTTTCCTCCTGCGCAACAATAATGGCATAAATATAAGGCTCTCTCTCATGGATGTAGCGGGCCTTATATACAAGCCTATCAAGCCCAGAACAAGGCACAACATGGATGGCTATCTTGAGGATTACAATGATATAGAGAGATACATAAAACACTTCGAGCTCTCTAACAGCTCGGAATCGTGGATGAAAGACCACAAGAAGACAACGCTGTCGTACCACGACATCCTAATGTTCTACCTGCTGGAGTTCGGCATCAACAAGGACATAAAGAGGCTCATTGATAGAGAGAGGACTAGCATCAAGAAGATAGTGGATGAGAGCATGATAGATATCTATGAGTATGACCCCTACACAAAGCAGAGCAACATCAACAAGATGTACAAGAACATATTGTGTGGTATGAGGATATCAAAACGCAACTTTTTTATTGAAAAGCAAATTGGTATAAGCGGTCTCGCAAGAGTTCTGGCCCGTGTTGAGAGCGTGAAGAGGAATGTGAAAAGCATCTTGATACCCAAGATAGTGTATTATGACCATAAGAATGTAGTTATGGTCTCACCTGGTATAAAGGAGCTATTCGACAGGGTGTTATCTATGCCCAATCGTGTATACAAGAGGCTGCTTGCACAATGGATCAGGTTAGACAATGATCCAGCAAAGACAAAGCTTCTAGAAGGATTGCCACAGCACGAGGACTTTGTTAAGGCCATCCTTGAGTTCTGGACCGGTTCAGGCTATATCCTTATTGACCAGTTGTCTGAATATTCAGTCAGGGCAATGAACAACAGTGGCCATATCCCGGTTGCACACACTTGTGGCCAGGTAATGGAATTATCAGAGCATTACAAGGATGTTGATGAGATCGTATTCAAGTTCTTAGATGCTATATTGATCATGGAGATCAGCAAGTTTCAATTTGTATAAATATATCGATACACAACTTTGTAAAACTCTAACCAAAAAATGATAAGGCTGTTACTTAGAACATACAAATGAATATTATAAAGTTCTCCTCGATAGATGTATCAAAGTTCAATATCGGAACCAAAAGGACAATAAGGAACAATAGTGTGGTGTCTATATTGTATGATGGAGAGAAGGTATTGATACAATCGCCATTCCTAAGATTTGATCCATCAAAGAAGGATACAATATCGATCATACTGAACAAAAACGATAAATCAGAGCAGTTTGAACAAAAGATCAGGGACATAGAGGAGAGATTTGATCAGATCATTGCTGAGAATTATAACAGACTGAAGCATACGAGACAGAGAATTGTATTCTTTGATTCATTGTCAGATGAATCCGAAGATGAATTTTTCTATGAATCAGCAGATAATTCTGGAGTGGTTGATATTGGAAAGATTGTTAAGAGAAGGATTATTACGGGTGATAGGATAGAATCAAGGAACAACACTAATCTTATAATAAATGATACAGACAAAAATGTGATTGGTATGGAGAAATTGAATGATGAAAAGAATGCAAACAAGAAGATACGGGTGTTATTGCGTCTCTATGGTATACGCATAGATGATCTCAATCATGTATGGTATGTATATAGATATAAGATGGTGCAGATTGAGACAGACAATAGATACAGCCAAAACCTAATAAGGAGTATCATGCCATTCATATCATTTCTTGAGGAAGCTGATAAGGATGATGAATAGGTCTATTAAAATAATATTTGATATTCCAAGTATATTTTATTTAGCGTATAAAGAACATTAAAACAATATTATGTGGTGCTATAAATGCAATAAGAATCTTTAATTGAGTGTTGTATCTAAGCAAGTTTGGTCGGATATGGCATAAAAAATTGTTTCTCTTATTTGCTACAAATATCTTATGCACTCTTCACAGTCTAGCCTTCTTCTCTTGTGACTGCATTGTTCGTCTTCAATCTTGCAGTCCTTGCATTTACTCCTTTGTTTGTTGTGGATGCATATAGAGCCACCTCCACACTCCTTGCATTGGCTCCTTACCCTGTTGTGCTGACATATAGAGCCACCTCTACACTCCTTGCATATGCTTCTTATTCTGTTGTGTTGGCATATAGAGCCACCTCTACACTCCTTGCATTGGCTTCTTGTTCTATGATGCTCACATACAGAAACGCCTCCACACTCCTTGCATGCGCTTCGTAATCTACTATGCTTACATATGTAGCTGCCTCCACACTCCTTGCATTGGCGCCTTTGTCTATTGTGATGACATAGGGAGCTGCCTCCACACTCCTTGCATAAATACCTTTGTCGATTGTGTTCACATATTGAGCTGCCTCCACACTCCTTACATTGATTCCTTCTTCTATGGTGGTGACATATAGAGCCGCCTCCGCACTCCCCTTTATATGCCCATAGAGACATATATAATATTTTGGTACAAGATCCATATGTAATTCGCTTTAATTACTTCTTGAATACCATACAGATGATATCTTGATTAGATAATGAGAATGGATTCGTATATAATACTTAAGTAAAGACAGAGGAAAGGCCGATATGAATAAGACACAATACCTCGTACAAGATCCATATGTAATTCTCTATGACTGCTTCTTGATATGCTGAGATGTGTATGATTGTTATATACCTGCATGTGAGAGGTGTGGGGTATTGTACGCGGGTGGTGTAAAGGCCGGAGTCATGACGCTTCGCTATGGTACCGGCTTGTGTTAAGGCCTTATGTATAATAGGGATGCAGACTGACGTAAGACTGATGTAAGGCCTGTATATTTCATACACAATACCTTGTACAAGATCCATATCATACTCTCTATGATTACTTCTTGAGCATTATACACATGATGCTTGTGATATCTTTATTAGATAACTACAATGGATTTGTATGTGATATGAAGAGAGTGATATAGAGGTGTCATATGATGTATTGTACGTAGTCGTGTAAAGGGCCTAAGTGATGACGCTTGGCGCAAGCGCCTGCGCTGTATGACCGTCTAGTACAGGCTGTGTGAAGGCCTTATGTATCATATGGGACTTGCTTAGACCTATATCATACATACACAATATCAGGTACAAGATCCATATGATACTCTCTATGATTACTTCTTGAGCACTATACAGATGATAGTTGTGATATCTTGGATGATGACAATGGATTTTGTATGTAATATGAAGAGAGATATATAGGTGTCATATGATGTATTGTACGTAGTCATGTAAAAGACAGGAGTCATAATGCTTTTTCTTGTACAGGCTCACTCTAAGGTAAAAATGTAGATAAAAGATAAGAGTAAATGTCAAAGAGTAATTCACCGGTGAAGGCAAATGTGGTGTCATCACTGATTGCAATAGAACCGACTACAGAGTATGTTGATAAGGAGTTGATATCGAGGGTGAGACTGTTTAAACTGACGAGGGAGGAGTTGAGCCATATATGTGAGGATGAGACAACATTCAAGATATGTATCAAGCTGATGGATATGAACAAGAGACAGCTGAGGTCATTATGTAGGAACATAGGCATACTATTCGAGAATGGGTCGGACAACTCGAGTGAGATACATAGAAAGATAATTAGGAAGGAGAACTTAACATTATCATTGAGCAAGCTACCAACAGAGATGAAGGAGCGAATAGTGACAGAGTACAAGAGGATGATGCCACCGAGATTGTTGGACTGGATAGATCCAGAGAAATTAATATTAGTGGATCTTTTAGGGAATCCGAGTGAGGGGATGATAAACGTGATAGAGAAGCATTTTGAGGAAGAGTTGGAGGAGTTATTGAGATTTAAACCACGAGATCAGAGTGCCGGATTGCGCAATCTAAATATGAACCCGAGTGATGCAGCGATAGATTTTTTGGGGAAGCATCCAGAGTATATAGTGGAGGAGTACTTGATAGAGAACAAGAATGTGAGAGGTTTGAGATTATTGATGCGCAAGAGCATGTTACCATTGACGGATGTTTTATCGAAATGTATCCACGATGAGATATTTGATAAGTATTTAGAGAGGGACGATAGATATGTAAATCTAGAGTACTTGTCAGGGAATACGAATGAGAGAGCGATAAAGATAATAGAGTCATATAGAGATAGAGATTATAAGATAGATGATCATAATGAGGTGAATTGGAAGATATTATCGAAGAACCCATCGGATGCGGCAGTGAGATTTATGATAGGTAATGAAAGCAAGATAGATTGGATGAATTTCAGTAAGAATACGAATACGGAGGCAGTGAGATTCACGATAAGAAATGAGAGCAAGATATTTATAAGTGTTTTTAGTATGAATACGAATACGGAAGCGGTAAGATTTTTGCTAAGAAATCAACAGTATATCCATAGGATAAATTTTTGTATAAATAGCAATGATGAAGCGGTGGATTTTGTTTTAAATAACGATAGGCGTTTAGATGTGAGAGCATTGTGTTGTAATCCGAATGACAAGGCGATAGATTGGTTAATAGAGCACAAGACGAATAAAGAGATCTATATGCTGAATTTGTCGAACAATCCAAATCCTCGAGTGAGACTTTTATTGCGAGAGAGAAAGTCAGAGATACGTTGGCATTTTTTATCCTCGAATCCAATAATATTTGAGTATAGAGATTAGATTTGGATGTATATTTATTCATGAGCTAGATGGTGAAGCTGGCTGTGTGAAGGCCTTATATATAATCCATAGTTTGTAGGGAAGTATGTGTATATTTATGAAAAATGAAAAATTCTTAAAATGATATGTCACCAAACATGTTCACGAACCCCTTCTGCAATATCCCTCTCGACAACATCTCACGCAACACCATCCACACCAAGTTCTCCTCTCTCAACACCAACAATGAAAACACCCTCGACAATCTCTACAAGACATATCAGGTTTACAATTGGTATCTCGATATCCTTCACATCAACAACACCATCCGATCCATCAACACCACTCCCAACTCAAACAAGAAGATCCAAAGCCTGCTCAAACTTGCTGACAGACTCCATGATGACATCATGTTCAACATCGAAGAACACCACTTACAGATGACACAAATCCAACAATCACCCCTATTGAGACAACTTCATGAATATGTGGAGAAGATGTAAACACCAAATGATGGATGGATATATCTTTTATCCATTTATCCGGAGAGCAAGTTGGGAGATGTGAAGTACTCACCCATCCTACCCAAACACGCTAAGACACATTCAGACACAATATAAGGTACAACATGTATATAATATTTTATGATATGATGGTTTATTGGTTACAATAGTAACAAATGGATAATCAAATACACGATATGGTATATGATGCGATATACCACCATGCTATGCATAAACCTGCATATGATATACTCTATAGACCACGTTTTCACATAGTCTATAGAGGGTATGATATAAGAGATTATGCGTAGGATTGTAGAGGATTGCATGGTGTCTGATATGATGGCTTGATAATAATGTTATGTAAGATGATGCTGTTGATAGTAATCGTGATATCGATCATAGATGCATAGGTGTTGATATGCGGTCTCCTCCTTGCATATATCGAATTCATAGAATAGAGGATTGATTTCAGGATCCATATCATAGTAGATATCAGGATGTATCTTGGTATAGCATTTCAATTTTTCATTCTGTCTAGGATAATGAGCATAAGTCAATTCAAAGGATCTCAGAAGCCATAGTTCCAAAAAGAAATCGGCTTCAATCCAGAACTTGTACTTGTTCTTCTTAGATATCAAAAGGATGCACTCCTTGTATTTTTCATCATATAGGACAGGCTTGAAACCATATTTATGGACATCCTTGTCGGATACACAATATATGAAGAACTCTTCTTGATCCTGCAAGTAAGTGACATTCTTGAGTTTCTTAGTATGAACCCTCTTGATAGTATCAAGATCAACATTACGAGTAAGGATGTACAACTCACGATAACCTAGACGATTGAATGTATGGAACTTGAAGCAACTATCCGGTAACCATAGTTTATAAGGGAGAGATTGTATGTATGGGTCTTGAGAGAGTTCAAAATAATCCCATAATCTTCTATCATGAGACTTCTTAAAGAAGCAGAATTGTATCCGATAGAGCTCATTGATATGGCCATAGAGGGTGTGTCTGAGTAGTACAATTCTAGATTTTTGTTGTTTAAGGAGAGGATGGGGCTGATCAAAACACTTCCAATCAGGAAAAAGAAAGGTAAGGTCTGAAGAGAATTGGATAGTAAGGATAATAAGATCGTGCAAGGAGAGTTCGATGTAATGTGGATCTAATATATCATATCTGAAATAGAGATAATTGAGGATGGCGTGAGTGGGATTATTGAAAGACCTGATATGGTTGGAGATGAGTTGGTACAATTTAGAGACAAGCTTATACTTATGTTTGATGTTATTCAAGATATCATCATGTAGGACAGATAGATCAATCATTTGCTATTGGAATATATGAAAGATATACTTATATTGATATGGTATTTATTTCAATATGAATAATAAAAAGTTAACATGAGGACGGTAAGAATTTTGATGATGTCTCCACCTCTCCCTAAGTAGGGGGGGGGGACATGATAGGGGGTTGAAGGTGTGTCTCCAGGGAGGGTCTTATTTTTTTAGGTATATATATACCGATTTCTAATTAAGGGGCAGGGTGGAGACACACATTATATGATGGAGGCTTGGTTGGGTTGTAAGATGAGGATGGTAAGGAGAATATATGTATAAGAGAAAGATTGAGAATGAAGGAGTATAATTGAAGAGATATAAAGAGTAATATGATAATATAGAAAGAGAGAATGTCGGATGAGGAGAAGGAGTGGATGAGATTGTATAACAAGGAATATTTGCAACGACGGAAGGAAGATGGAAGCATAAAAGAGATATATGAGTACATAGCAGAGTACAACAAGAGAAGGTATCATGAGGATGAAGAGTTTAGGAAGAGGATATTGGAATCATCAAGGAAGTACAAGAATAAAAGGTACAATATGGATGAGGACTATCGTGAGAGAGTAAAAGAAATGAATAGGAAGCAGTATGAGGATCCTGAAAAGAGAGAGCGAATAAAGGCAAGGAGACGAGAGAGGTATCAAGAGCAAAAGCGTGAGAAGGCATTGATGATGAAGTAATTTATTTTTATGAATGATGTGTCAAAAAGCATATAAAGAAATGTTCATATGATATATAGAAAGAGTGTAGGGGATGTTATTGAAAGATGCGATATGGACAGAGAATGAGAGGAAGGAGAATTTGATAGAATTATCAAAGAGGTTAGATGGATTGGGTTTCAAGGTGATACCATTAGAATTGTCGAAGGAGTTGTATGAGGGTTTGACAGGACCATACAAATCATTGAAGGATGCGAAGAGGATCTATAAAGGGACAGACGGAGTAGGATACAAGAAGGCTCTAGGTGATTTAGAGAAATTGCATGGCGTGTCATGGAAGAGATGGAACAAGCCACTATCATATACAATGAATGTAATAAGAACAAGACCAATATCAGGGTTAGGAATAATAGGAAAATCATTGAGAATAGATGATGATACATACAAGATAGAATTGACGGATGAGATGAAGGAGTTATTGAAGGAGTGGGAGAGTGCGGCGCAGGTGGTGATAATGTCAGGTGAGGGGAAACAGTACATCTTTAAGGAAGCTGAGAGCGTGAAAGGGTTCAAGAAGTTGTTGAACAGTACGATAGAATTGTTGGATAATATATCATATGTATGTGAATATCCGTATCACAATCCGACGGTGATATTCAGGTCAGATGTGTTATCAGAGGTTCCAGGATCTTTTAAGGAGTTTTATGAGAAGGAGGTGAAGGAACGCATGAAGGGAACTAGGCCAATAAGGCTGAAGAAGTATGAGAGTATAAATAATATGAATATGATAAAGTTCAATGAGATGGCGGATTGGGACATATCAAAGGAGCATGTAAAGTTATTATTAGACAATTTACATGAGGATTATAGGATGGGAAAGAGATGGTTTACGCCATTGCAGAGTATATTAGGGAGAGTGGATGATGAGAAGGGGATAAGGGATGTATTTGACAACTGGAGCAAGAGGCCAACGACGAAGCAAGGAGATTGTAGTATAAATCCGGAGTATTCGAAAGTGTTAAATGACATGAAGATGGATGCGATAGGGAGAGATAAAAGCCTACACAAGAATCCGAATTGTCTGGTGAGTGCGGTAAACAAGAACCTGAACAATGAGCAGATAAGATGTTTTAGACAGGTGACGGATCAGTTAGGTTCTTTAAGTCACGAGAGGATGATGATGGATAAGCATATAGAGTCATCTTGTTTAGAGGATAACAAGGATGTATTCATAGTATCAGGATTAGGGACGGGGAAGACAACAGCGGTGATAGATTACTTGAAGAAGAGCAAGAGATGTTTTATATTTGTGGTACATCTGAGGAATTTGATATCGGACATAAAGAGCAATCTAGGGAAGGCTGGTGTGAGGGTGAAGACTTATGAGGACGATTCTTTCAAGTCATTGTGTGATGGAAAGAAGAAGTCAAATTGGATAGTGTCATGCAATAGTTTGCATAAGTTTGTGAAGGAGCAGATGAATGAGGATTGTTCAAGCAGGATGTGGAGTGGTGATTTCAAGGGATATACGATTGTGTTGGATGAATTCAAGAGTTTGAGGGAGTATTTGTATACAGCGACAACATTCAAGAATACAAGGTTGAGGTGTATATATGTATTGAACAAGATGTTTGAGACGGCCGACAAGATAATAATGATGGATGGGAACATGACAGACGATGATATAGATTATTACAAGGAGAGAAGGAGGGGAGATTTAAAGATAGTATCATCAAGGTACAGGAAGTATTATAGTATTTGTATTAAAGACCTTAAAGACCAATTTCCAATTTACCACCAAAAATGGAAAATCAAAGTACATAATTTGAGTTTTTTTGGAAAAACCATCAAAAAATCTACCATCAAAAAATCTATATAGATTTGTTTAAAGACCAAAATATACAAAATTCCAAATTACCATAAAAAATGTTCAAATATCCTTAATTGCTTCATTATCTGCCTCCTTTCATTAACTCTATTCTGATCTATTATAAATACTACAAATATTTTATATATTTCTCCTTACCATTCTCGTAAGAGAATTAAGCAGAAATTAACAAGGGTCGCTAAGGCCTGTGAGCGAAGCGAAACTGGCCGAACATGCGCAGCATGTTACTATCATGCCCTCACTAGATCTATACATATCCCTCTAACATCCCTCTCAATCTTCTCATATTCATATTCTTCATCTCCCTTACCATTCTCGTAAGAGCATTAAGCAGAAATTAACAAGGGTCGCTAAGGCCTGTGAGCGAAGCGAAACTGGCCGAACATGCGCAGCATGTTACTATCATGCCCTCACTAGATCTATCTATATCCCTATCAATCTTCTCATATTCATATTCTTCATCTCCCTTACCATTCTCGTAAGAAAATTAAAACAAAAATAATAAATGTCGCCTAAGGCCTGTGAGCGAAGCGAAACTGGCCGAACATGCGCAGCATGTTACTATCATGCCCTCACTAGATCTATACATATTCTCCATCTCCCTTTTATTTTATCTATCCCATACTTTATCCCTTACAGCCACATTCTCTCCAACTCTTTATCCCCTTATTTAAACTTCTTCTTCACACCTTACACTCCCATACACTATACACCACACCACTACACTCTTAACTCTCCTACAATATCTATCAAATCAAACCTTCATCATGATCCCTACACAACATTTTGTCCTCTTCCTTTAGAATACATAACATACATACATGCCTCAACCATCCATTCATCAATTCTTTCATTCACTCCACAACTCCATCGATAATCTATTGTTCATCCTCAAAAACATTCATACACAACTACCACAACAAACACCCCTCAACTTCCTAAATAAAATCGACCGCATCTTCTACATCAATCTTGACCACAGGACCGACCGCAACCAAAATGCACTTCGCCAATTAAAAATTATTGACCCTACTCTCTCTAAAACTGAACGATTCCCCGCTATCCAATATATCAACCCCTCTCTCTCCAAAAGAGATCAAAACACTGTCGGCTGCAGCAAATCACACATCGCTATCGCCCAGATCATGCAAGATCGCGGCTACAAAAATATACTCGTCCTTGAAGATGACTTCGATATCCAGGTCCCACTCCAACAACTCGATCAACACATCTGCCTCTTCTTCGATCGAATACAATCCTACCACTTCTTATTGCTCGGCACTGGCTCCAACCTTAAGGTCTCCAAATTTGACGATATCATCAATAAAGTTCTCATCAGTTGGAACACCACCGCCTACATCATGTCCCACTCCGTCCTACCCAAATGGATCGAACACGCCACCACATGCACTAATAAACTTATCCAAACTCATATCCGAAATAATAACGTTATCGATGAGGCTTGGTATATCTTCTTCGGTAAAAATGCTCACTCTTACACTTTCGATGGATACGGCAAAAGATACATCACACAAATCGTCGGCTATAGCGATATCGATCATAAATACATCTCTTGGCAAAAATAATTCTCTCCTTTCACAACACACATTTACCATCTCATCTCTCTATAAGCAATTATTATTGGATTTGACGATAAACGTTTCCAATCTATCTCTGCTTTCCTCTCCAGCAATAAGGGTATCACTCGCGGATTTGAATTACATGACAAAACACGTAATTCGTAAGGTGACAGTCTTCTCTTATTCTCTATCAACCAATCTACAGCCTTCTCATTCGAATTTAAACAAAACATACCATCTACTTCAAGTATATGCGCTCTATTCTCTGGTCGTAGAGTGTAATCCACCGCTACATCATTGCTATTCGAAATAAACGCTGGCCAATATATCTTATTCGGATGACTTATCATAAATCTTACCGCTTCTGTATTAGTATTCCCACTTAATTCTGCCCAATCTATCTTACTCTCATTCCTTCTCATAAATCTCACTGCCGCATTCGATGGATTTCTCGATAACTTCTTCCAATCTACCTTATTATTCTCACTCTTCTTATAATCCCTATCTCTATATGACTCTATTATCTTTATCGCTCGATCATTCGTATTCCCTGACAAGTATCCTAGATTTACATATCTATTGTCCTTCTCTATATATTTCTCAAATATCTCATCATGAATACATTTTGATAATATATCTGTTGTTGGTAATTTATCATCCAAACTTAACCCTTCTTCCTCAGAACCCGAACTCGACTCCCAATTACGGTGCTTATTAAATAATCTCAAACTTCTCACATTCTTGTTCTCTATCAAAATTTCACTCCTTATCAAATCATAATACTTATCCAAAAACTTTATCGCCGCATCACTCGGATTCTTATTTAGATTCTCTATTGCAGTCATCTTATCAATTATATAATCATCCTCTATTGAATCATCATACAATAATCTCGTCATAAACATTATCTTGCTCTTAAAATGCTTCTTTATCAGTAATATCATGCCCTCACTCGGATTCCCTAATAACGACGGAAATTCCAACTTCTTTAAATCTATCCAATCCAATAATCTTGGAACCACTATCTTCATGTACTCTCTTATTATATGTTCCTTCATATCTGCTGGCAGATTACTCAATGATAATCCTGAATATCCCTTCTTATTTATCTTTCTATGAATCTCACTCGAATCGCCCGATCCATCCTCAAATAGTATCCCTATGCTCCTACATAATGACCTCAGCTGTCTCTTGTTCATGCCCATCAGCTTCATGCATATATCAAATGCTCTCTCATCTCCACATATATAGCTAAACTCCTCCCTCGTCAGCTTAAACAGTCTCACCTTTGTTATCAACTCCTTATCCACATACTCCGTCGTTGGCGATTGAGCCAACAATGAAGAAACCACACTTGCCCTCACCGGCGAATCGGATTTTGACATCTACTCTTACCTCTTATCTACATTTTTTACACTTCTCAACAATATTTTATGGAACCCCATGGACTAAAAGGCGTGGGTCACACATCGCTTCTCATCCTTCCTTATATCCCCTTTATTCACCTTCTTCCAAATTTAAAATCTACAGGGGTTAGTCAATTAACTTTCGGACAAATCCCCTGGCTAAGTCATTTAACTTCCCCACTAAAAGGCGTGGGTTACACTCCCTCTTATAAAAACGGTTCTCTCCTCAATACCTCACCCTCTCTCCCTCTCCTCCCTACATGCACACGAAATATACTCATCGGGATCCTCTCCCTCCTCCTACATCTATTCCATCTCCTCCAATTCACCCTTATATCCACCCTATACTTCCCTATATCTCCCCTTACCATATTCAACCATATGTAGATATCACGCATATATAGATACACCGGTATCGTCCTCCTAAATGTCTCATCGTAGTCCTCATCAAATTCTGTATACCACCCTGAATACATATCCTCATCTCTCTTATATTTTATTTACATCCTGTTGGCTTTCCTATTTTTTCTTTAAGACCCTTATATATATTCTCCTTACCATCCTCATCTTACAACCCAACCAAGCCTCCATCATATAATGTGTGTCTCCACCCTGCCCCTTAATTAGAAATCGGTATATATATACCTAAAAAAATAAGACCCTCCCTGGAGACACACCTTCAACCCCTATCATGTCCCCCCCCCCTACTTAGGGAGAAGTGGAGACATCATCAAACCCTTACCATTCTCGTATAGATCATTCTATATATCCTCTGGTTAATTCATATAAAGCTTGCTCAACTATATTATACATATACTAGTGCGGACTATGACGTCTCATATTTACAGTTTGGCAGCTATTCACAAACAAACTGGACAATATTGTTGTCCAAGACTTGCTAACAAGAAGGAAGAGTATATCTGTCCTCAATGCAACAAAACATTAATACTCCGCCAAGGCAAAAAACGAGTCTTTCATTTTGCACATCACAAAGATGATGAACCTTGCTCCTACTATAATAATCCTTCTGAGTCACAAATCCACAAGGATGCTAAAATTGCGCTTAAGCAATTCTTAGAAAAATGCCTACCATTCAAGGTCATGCGTAATTGCTATGTTTGCAAACATCTCATACACGATTGGAAGGCTCCTGATTTTTCTACATGTCAAGTCCACCTTGAACATAGATTTCAATATAATGATAGCACTAAAATCGCTGATGTAGCTGTTGTTCATGATACTCAGATATCCGCCATATTCGAAATATGTAATTCACATTTTACAAGTGAAGACTGTCGACCTGAACCATGGTTTGAATTTGACGCTAAATCCTTATTGAATAATATTAACAAACTTGTAGTGGAATTATACTGCATTCGAAAACAAAAATGTGAGCAATGCATACTTAATCAACCTTTGAATGATTTGAAAGATTTGAAGACCTTCTTAAACGGCTCTAAAACTCACTGGAATTGGAATGAAGATGTTCTTGATCAGCTTATTATTAACATATTGAAAGGATCCTCCACACACTTTTCATCAGATCATCATTGCCTTCTTTCTGACAAACATTCAGAACATCTTATTGAACATAATAAACACCTCATTGAACTCTTCAATCCTGTCTTTAAACATTTTAGAGTTGCTGTCTATCTCAATGATGACGGATTTTGTTCCTATATAGTCCATGATTATGATTATAGTAAATATAATTATTGGATTGCGGATTATGCCCTTGGCAAATTCCCTGCGTTTCATGCTTACCTCACCTTCACTGAATATGACACCCTTTCTATAATCAAGAAAATCCTTAAATTCATTCATCACTATCTGCCCAACCTAAAATATATGAAACAGTTTATAATCAACTACTCTGAACCTTATCCATTTATCAATGATTACAAACCTACTTCAACATGCGAATTTAAATCTTATTATTCGAAACAAGCTGCAAAAATTCGCAACTTTTATAATAATTATGCTACCCTCAAACAAAACAAAGTCACTTTTCTTCTTCAAGATCAAGATGTTACATTATTTCACCCTGTTACAATTCAAAAATTAACATTCAATATTATTTATGACAGTATACATTTATATCAGCAACGTATATATGACTTGTCTATTGAAGACATTATATCTTGGTATAAAGCTCCCAATGATAAATTCCCAGAACGCCCTAAAGATGAAGAAGATCTAGAAGATTTTGATTATTATGAAGACAGCAGTGGTTCTTATATCTGTTTGAAATGCCCCTTCTCTGAAAAAGATACTGTCAAAACACTTGGAGCTTGGTGGGATCCCTCCATTAAGAGATGGTGTGTCAGAAATACTGTCTATAATCAGTTCATATTTGCACGTTGGTTACCTAAATAATATAGGAAGTCGCATAGATCACACCATTCTCATATGCTCCATAATGATTGTATTGATGATCTCATATGTGTCTCCACCCTGCCCCTTAATTAGAAATCGGTATATATATACCTAAAAAAATAAGACCCTCCCTGGAGACACACCTTCAACCCCCTATCATATCCCCCCCGGCCCCCCCTACTTAGGGAGAGGTGGAGACACCCTATATCCCTTACCAATATGGTACTACAGTATAGACAAGCTAATCAAGAAAAATATAACCTTAATCGTGTCTTGAATAAATACAACTCTGGTACCATAGAACCTAAACCGTCCTTTATCAGAAAGTATGACCTTTACAAAGACGAAGGTATATGGAAATCACATATTATATACTCATAAATATGTATATCAGTCACTTTCTACATTTTATTCCTATCACCATTCTCTCCCACGCTTTACATGCTCTTTTTTCCATCTCATGAAACATATACATTATTTCTTCATCCTTCACCTCAAATCGTTCTATCACATGCGGCTCTAACACATTCAATCCCTCTAAACGCAACCTCAACAGTTTCATATGATATCCTATCTTATCATAATCGAACTCATATCTTGCATAATTCACTCTCACTTTCTCACCATTCTCATTTATATGTTGCTCCTTGTATCTATGTTTCACTATCAAACCCTCCAACCTCCTCCTCACCTCCTCTGCCACCTTCTTGTAACTTAACCTCTTCGCTAATACATACTTCGTGATCCTAGGTCTCCTAAATGTTGGCATCTTTCCATCCTCTAACATCTTGTTGTACAACTTTGCTAATGCCTCCTTGTTCCTATTCTCTTCTGTATCCTCCATCACCATCACATCAAAATAATTCCTCATATCATCCTCTTCTATCTCAATCTCCTCATCCTTGTACCTCCCTGTGTCCAAACATCCAAGATCGAAACAATCCTTCACACCTAAGTACTTCCTCATCACCTCCTTCGTCCTCCACATATCCATATAGAATGACATATACCCATTCATTGGACTGTCTTCTGATATCTTGTTTTTCAATATCGCCTCCAAATGTGATGTCCTATACATGTATGCCACCATCTTGTTGTGCTCTATCAACGGATCTATAATCCTCTTGCATGCCTCATTCATATCACTCTTCACCGATAAACCACCCATCAATAAACCCCTATATCTCTCTATATACTCCTCCCTCTTGTTCTCAGGTACCCTCCCTAGATAATGTTGGATCCTATTTCTCCATTGCTCCTCCTTCGACCTACTCGCCTTCACATCATTGCATCTCAACATCCTATCAAAGTCCTCATTCTCCCTACTCTCCCTCTCCCTCAACAACATTTCTTGCACTTCATCCTTCGTATATGTTATCTCTCTCAAACCATCCTCTATCTCTATATTCCTCATCCTCAGGAAACTCATCACCTCCATATTATTGTAGATCACCTCATCCTTCTTCTCACGCTTTATCTCTTTTTCCTCCTTGTAGTAATTCCTTATTACCACCATCCCTAACCTCTCTAAATTCTTGATATAGTAATGCTCATAATTCAACATCTGTGTATCCTGCCTATACAAGATCTTCATCAATTCCTTGTTGTGCATACTATCCTTCGAACAGAAGTTGTCAGTATCCACATTCTTCATCTCCCTATTTATCTCTATCATATCCTCCGTCTTCTTCATTATGCCATTCAACACATTGCTACCTAAACACATCTCATTGTAAGTCCGTCTACAATCATCTATGTCTTTATGCACCGGCATTCCCGCATATATCATGCTCTCCGGCTTCAACTTATAATTTATGTAAAAGAACAACATCTGACAATTCCTATTCCTTGCTAACTGCTGCACTTTCTGATCTGGCGTTAAGGTCCTCGCAAATGTCGATATACAGTACGTATTGATCGGCCTCTCGGCCTCATAATTCACTCCCTCTATTATCGAGGGCGTTGTTATCACCACCTTCCTCCTCCACAACTTATTCACATCCCCAGAAAACTCACTCTTGTACCTCTCCGTATCTGACGCTATGTACAAGATCCTTGCCACTAAATACATCTCTATATCCTCCACTTCATGCAACTCCCTCAAACTCGCTAACTCCTCCTCCGACATCACACCCAGTCTATCTTTTATATATCCCTCTACTTCCATGTGTAAATCATACATCAAATCACGGGTATTACACTCCCTTATCTGTCTCGCAAACACACCCTCATTATAGTAAGCGGAGCCGTCACGAGACTAGGGAAGCTCCGAGAAGTTGCGTTATCGCATCTCTTGATATCAGCCGGGAACCAAACAGCGGCCTCAGTCGTCAGTGACGGGTGTCCGCAGATCCGCTGCCCGGGCCGAAGGGTCCGGGCCGGAGGGTTTGAGGGGAGAGGACATGGCGAGGACCCGAGGGAGGAAAGGATGAAAGGGACAGGATCTCGTCCCTTTTCCTTATCTCTCTTGCTCTTCCTGCTCTCATTTGCATGCTGTCAAGGCTCGAATGAGGGAGTGGCGGCAGACGAAAGCTTGCAGGAACAACCAGAAGAAGCAGAGCTGTGGGTTGATCATGACGACGTCCATCTGCCGCGCAGGCAGAACCTCTCCATCGAGATTACAGAGCCCCAGGATGGAGAGATCCTTTGGACTGAAGGTCAGAAGCTACCAAGTCTGACGATCCTGCTTGAGGTGCATGGGGGATTGATCGACTTCGGAAGGCACCTCGCTCAGTGCGATGGAGACATCACGGTGATGGTTCAGGGGATCCCGGTATGGCACTCAGATGGAAGCGTCAACACGGCTACCATATGGGTGTGGTTCCTTCCAGTCACCATGGAGATGCACGAAGCTGGCGAACTGAGGAGGATCCTACCACCGCATTCGATCCACGTGAAAGTAGAGGACGGGGCGTTCTTCATGGAGAAAATCTGCCGATTCGACGTTGCGAGGACGCATGGATTAGACACTTGGTCACACAGAAACGCCTACCAGAAACTCTGGCCAGGACGAGGGAGAGCTGGCGTCAACTCACTGAGCGAAATCATCGAAAAGCTGAAGCAGGAGGTTCAGGGGCTGCAAGGAAAGATTGAAGCGCGGAAACAGAGGGGGCAGGATGCTGGACCCTCCCGTCATGAGGGTAGACGTATCGTGAGCCTTTCCTTGGAAGAATGGCTGCATGCACGAGAGCTGGGGTACCAGTGCTCAGCATGCGATAGAATTTACGAGGCAGACCCCTCCCGTTTCCGCTTCCGTGTCAACCAAACCCTTGAGTGCGATGTATGTGAGGCCCAGAGAATGTTGTTCGACTGGCAGTTTCCGGAAGATTCAAACAATACTTGCAGAGCCAGGAAGCTTCTAGTGCACAGCCTTGACGGAGCTGCCTGGTCTCTTCCCCGACAGGTCATGTTCCTTGCCATGTCCCTGGGCTTCGCGCATGCCACTGACCGTATCCTCGTGACGAAAAGCCGTGACGTGTGGAATTATGCTGGTAAGGACTGCTCTCAAGGATGGCTGTGCTACTTTGAGAGGATCTCGGCGTGCAAGGAGGAAGATCAGTGGTCGTTCGTTACCCTTCCCCTCTCCGACCTCACATCCAACGAGTCTCAAACTGTCGTAGTCTCTGACGTCAGTCGTCCCGGGCCCTTCTGTGCGACTTACCGTGTCTCTGGGCGAGACATGGTTCGCTCATGGAAGTTCGAGGCAAGAAGCCCCCCGCAGCTCGCCCACCGCAGCTTCTGCTGGTGGATGGCGCAGCTCGTGGCTTTCATCTTCGACCCGAGGGAAGAAGTGGTGGAGTTTCTTCGCAGCACAAGGGGAGCAAAGGGGAGCAGGGAAGCCTCAGGCTTCAAGGACGTTCGCGCCATGCTGTGCCATCGGTACTGCACGTTCGCAAATGCCAAGAGCTTGATCCGTGGGTTCGGGAAGGAGGAAGTCGTTGGACTGAGCGATGAGGCCCGGAGGCGAGTGAACGTCACGGATGAAGGCCTGCACGCAGTCTCCTCCCTGCTGCTCTCCTCCCCCATGTCGGGGCTTCCCGCTGAGGACTCAGGAGGCTTGCTGCGGTCCGGGTGTGAGTGCGGAGATGCTTACTTCGGCTACATGTAAGGCAGCTTGCTCGTTGTGGGAATCGCATGCTGACATGTGTTTCCAAGATCGCAGGTGCTGCAAGACTTCAAGGATAGCGAGTTCGACGAGGACTCTTGCCAGTTCGACCTTTTCCTATGATCGAGCTCCAGTGGCTCCCAACATCACTTGGTCTTGATGGCCCCTTGGCTTTTCATGACAGCATTATTCTTTTTTAGCTTCTCCAAACCCTGAACTTCTACTTATCAACAAGAAAATACGTATTCCTCACTCCTCTTCCCCCATTCACATCCCTCAAAGTATCATTTACACCAACTGCGTTCAACTCCTAGGAGCCCCTCCCTGACCTCGCCGAAGACCAGGAAGCAAGGAGCATCATCAGCTTGATGAGGATCTGTATGTTCAGCATCACTTCACAAGCCGCTCGTCCACACTCACTCTCACCACACATCCGGCGACGACCATGGCGAGCCTGGTCAACTTCTTCTTGCTGGCTGAGGGGAGTTGCTCCACTGAAAAGGGCAGGAGCCGCTCTCTCTCATACACGGTCCCATAGTTGGAGGAGTCAGGCTCAGCCCTCGTCGACGAGCTTGCTTCTACCGCTGCTGGCTCGCCCTTGGCCATGACGATCCCTGCCGGTACGTCATCAAAGACAAGACAGTGCAGACAGACAGCGTGATCTAGGACGCCGGCAAACCACGCCATGTCACCGCCGGAAATGTTGTCCTTTGGCTTCTATCCCTTTCATCCACCTCCTTCCTCTCCCGCCCGCCCTCCTCCCCCGCCGCCCCTCCCCCCCCGCCGTTCATTTTCACCCTCATCCTATGAGACCAGCCAGCTAAAATTTGTCCTTGCGCCTCAACACAGGAAATCCCACCCTGCCGCTTCGCGCCCCCGCCCCCATTCCCCGCTGCTGCTCCCCCGTTCCTCCCCCGTTCCATGTCCTTCATCTCTCAAGCACAGGACCTTCCCTTCCCGTTCCTACATCTCCGCATACTACTCCGCTCTCTCGCGTCACAGCGCTCGCCATGGAGCAGGTACCATGTTCGCAACCACAATGATAGAAAAACATTTATTCACTTGTCGACTGCTTGCTCGTTCCCTTGTCCTTGTCCTCCATGAAGATGTTCAGAACTGCAGCTGTAAGACAAGAGCATCACGGGAGATACATCTCGACCCCGATCGACCCCGAGTAAGCAACAGCATACTGCAGATCTTCACCATTGCCAAGATCTGTCTAGGATATCTGAATGATCTTTGAACTTTCTTTATTCCAAGGAGGCTGGCAGTACAAAGTGAGCCTCTGCAGTAGCAAACGGTCCATCTGTTGCTTCGTTGGGTATATCTGAGCAAGTTCCTGCGCAGCCCTCGAGCTCTCGCCTACATCTTCACTCCCGGACTCGGGCAAGTCTGCATTCCCCGCTGAAGAACTCCTTCCAGCCGTCAGCAATCTCTGGGCTGAGGCGAAGGTGGGTGAAAAAGGTGCAGATCGCTTGTTTTTGTTCGTCGCGGAGCCTTTCCCAACAAGAAAAGGCATCGCCCTCCTCGGCCCTTACAGCATGATCGTCGTTGCCGATCTCCCAGAGGTGTCCATCCTTGAGTCCAATGAGCCGGTGGAGAAATCGTGGCCGATCAGGCTCAACGCGGACGGAGATGATAAAGGTCTGAGACTGTTCACCCCAAGTAAGCATCTCGACGTGATCCAAATTGAATCACCTTGCCAATGTCATGAGAGAGGTCGAGATGGATGTCACCTTGAACTTGTGAAATTTGCAGGAAGAGGGTCATTCCGAGTTGTTGGTAGCCTGCTGACTTCGTGACGCTCTCGGCATGCTTCTGGAGCTTTCTCTGCCAGGAGCTATGTTACAAGTAAATCGACGGGTTTGGGCAGGAAGGAGGAGGAGAGCACTTCAAGACGAGGCACGAGCCTCTTGAAGGAACAGCCATGTTTCAAAGTACAACTCTTGCCATGGGAGAGGCGAACGAGGGGAACAGTGCGGATCCCCTTCCCTCACAGTCAATCACAAACCTTGAGCTCCTGGTCTACGTGGTCAGAACTCAGTGCCAACTGCAGATGCTGATGTCAGCAGCCAGCGACTCTATACAAGGAGATAAACACCTCATGTCGTTGAAGCAGAGGCTTCTCTATACCCATCCAGACCTTGAACATTGATAGTCAAAGAATGAGCGTGCAGGACTTGCTTGGCTTTCATGATAACATCGGAACCTTCACCATCACTCTTACCGCTTCCATGTCCACCCTCAGCACAGGCAGTACATGCCGGCCAATGTGCTCTTGGATCTGCTGTCCATCAGTAGCACCTCGTAACTGCTCGCCTGCGGCTGCTCCTCCTGACCCGTGAGGCTTCAATGGCAAGCAAATGGTCGTAGGATATGGCAAGTGTATGGAAGAACCTGGAGCGCTGGCCGTCTTCTGTTTCTTCTCAAGGCAAGCGACTTCGCTTACATGACATTGATGAAGCTTTGCTGCTTTTGTCAGAGATAGATCGAGACACTCTTTGTCTTGCTGGATTCCATGTTCACCAGCAGAAAGCCAGATACTCCTGGATAACTGATCCACCCACAATACGTGAAGAGACCCTACCTGCTCTACTTGCTTGAGAGTGCTACCAAGCTCACTGTCGATGTAGTCGAATGTGTCTGCATCCAACGAGCAATCATACATCATTTCTTGCAATGCACCTCTTTTAGGCATCGAAATGTTTGGTCCAAGAAATAGTCGCCTGCCACATGGTGAAACCCTGATCACATTTTCTACCTCAAACGGACATGAGCATGACATGAATGTATTCTTCGGGCGCACTTGTTTGCGATTCCCACCTCTTCTATCATCTTTCGATCTCGCTTCTCTCCTAACAACATTCCTCGAGCTTCTCCCCCACGCCTCTGCTAGATCCACTCCTCTACATTCTCCTCCACGACCCTGATAGATCCATTGAAGTTGGTAGCACAAGATCACGCCCGAACGTAACAAGTTTGGGTGTTACCACCCACCCTCCTACATATCATGTAGCGTAGGGGAGAGGAGCGGGTAGAACCTAACAAGTTTAGGGGCAGCTAAAAAAACCCAAAAAAAAGCCCACGACAACGCCGTGCCACCAAACCAGTAGGAGATTAGGGGCGGGGTCTGGGCGGGGTTGACTGATCACGACAATGGCGGGGGTGACTGATCACCCCGGTACCGCCCGCGGTACCGGGGTGGGTGCGGGCACCGCAGCCTTTACTCAATTCTAACCCGCTCCCGGTACCCCCCCGCCGGTACAGATCGGTACCGGGTGCCTTGCGGCCCGTCCGTCGACTTGTTCCACTTAAGAACCCCGCATGCCCCAAGGCGGCGACGCCCGCCGCCCCCCCCGCACAGCCGCCGGTTGCATCCCCTGCCCCATCCCGGCTGCCATGCGGCAGTGCTCCTTTCTCCCATGACGGACTCACGCCGGGCCATGAAGTGTCTCACTCAAGGGTCGTCTTCAAGCGTGCGGTCTCACGGAGGCTTGACGGTTGCCTCCCCATGATCATCCCGGATCAGGCCCAACCTCGTGGCAGTGAGACACCGACGCTTCTGGACCATGCGATGCTTTTGGACGCTTTTCGACAACATCTACTTCGACTGCAGCATTCAACGACCGCTGCTGCTGCAGCAGCAGCAGCTGCTGATGATCCCACTGAGTCAGAATCATCATCATCATCATTTCGTACTGCAGGGCATGTAAACTATACTACTATGTATAAAGAGACACCCAGGAATCCTTCAGTGCCTCTATATCATGCCACAACTTGATCCGTCTATGTCTTGATGTCAACATTCGGAATCAACCCTCTCACCCGCCTCCTCCCGCCACATGTGAAGCATGGCCTGAGACGTGCGTCCCAGTCTTCCATCCCACCTGTGAGCGTTGTTCCCATTCACCGTGTCATTGGCTTGCCATCCCGGCAAGCATTGACTCGGAAGTTGAACGGTTCCTACAATCAGAGTCATAACTTCAGCTCCCAACGGCACTGTGCCGGCTCGCGCCAGGCCGCTGCAGTAGTGGCACCGAGCCCCTCAGTTCAACTTGAGAAGTTCAGTTCACGGTTACGCCGTTCGCCCAGTCACCGTCCGTCCAGGTCCGATCCCCCCCCACCGGGTGCCACCCCGCATGGCCGCGCACCGGCGGCGAGCGATCGGACCGTCACCCGACACGGGCCGGGCCGGCGGGTGCCACCTTCAACTGAGCCGCCTTCACTACTGCCTCCGTCACAGTACCATCAGTGGCAGAGTGCCGGGACAGTGCCGAACCCGGCTCAGATAATTCCGGTGCCCCGGCAGCAATCAGTCACGGGACTCCGGATCCCCGGAGTCTCCCCGGCGGGATCCCAGGCCCGCCTTTTGCAAGGTCAGTCATCATGGCATGACAGGTGTATCGGAAACTGATCACCGGTCCTTTTAAGCTCTGTAAACCGGGTAGCATCTGAGTCACAGTTCCGTTTCGAAAATTTGTTCCGGCGTGGTAAATACGCTGGCAAGGCAACTACAGCGGGGAGTTCGGACAAGATGTGTTGGGGAAACGAAGAAGACGACACGTAGAAGAGAAATGTCCGAGAAAAGATGCCAACAAGGGGGAGAGATGGCAGAGGAGACATGCCAGAGGAGAGTCGGTAGAGGAGAGTTGCCAGAGGAGAGTCGGTAGAGGAGAGTTGCCAGAGGAGACATGGCAGAGGAGACATGGCAGAGGAGAGGCCTGTACTACGGTAGAGGAGTGATGGCAGAGGAGTGATGGTAGAGGAGTGATGGTAGATGGGATGAGGTAGAATAATGTAGGTGAAACATATGTTCATCTTCATTCCCATCCCACTGTCATAAGTCTTTCAACAATGCTGCAGCATATGTCGTTCTTTCCCTACTCTCATCTGAAGACTCCATCGAGTCTTGTGTGTGGTCCGGTCGAGCTGTCGTCCTATCCTTCTCCAAGTGTAACTTGTTGCAAAACGTGATGTAACTCAGCTGTTCATATCTGTGCTTGAGTTCACGCCTCTGCCATGCCGACTTCCCGTATGCTCTCTCAACCAGCACATGAAACGCTTTGTCGTAACATTCCTGGATGTTGTCTGCCCGTATCTCGCCTTCTTCACCAATCGCTCCGTTCTCCCGGCAAATCTTCTCTATCTCATTCATCACGCACCTTGCTTTGTAAAGATTCCTCCTGCTGGGTTTCGTTTTCAAGTCATGCCTCAAATTCAGTTTGTAAAAGTTACAAAATGGTCTGATTCTTTGTACCCTTCCATCAATGTTTCTAATCCGTCCTTGATACAAATACGTCATCATGTTTCTGACTGATATTTTCTGTGGCCATTCGAAATCTGCAGGAACCATGTGGCGCCCCCCCCCCATTCGAACCAATGGCCCTCTACTTCGTCATCATTCAATGATTGTTCTTCGCCTGGCGTGGCATCATCGTTGTCTGCTCCACTGTTCAATGACCCATCTTCTTCCATGTCTGATCCTGAGCTTGCTTCCGAGCTGTTTTCCGCAAGCAATTCATTGTCTTGTGTCCCTTCCCGCCATACAAACCTCTGTTCCACCGAACTCCCGTCTCGCACAGAATTATTTGCATCCAACACTGATGTCATGATTTCGAACATAACTTTCATGTTCTCCTCTATGTTATGCAGCTTCATCCAAACTCTTTTCATACCTTGCTGTGTTTGTTTTGAGTTCTCCTTCAGTGTTTTCTTCAGTGCTTTGTTGTGGGCATTCAATTGTTGTGTCACCATGTCTAACGCCTTTATCATCTCTGACTCCATTGAATTGGTCGATGCCGCCATTGTCTCTCCAGACTCTGCAGCTTTTCTCATCACGTCAATTGTGAACATGCCTTCAACCTTTGATACTTTCGTCACAAGCTCCTTAATCGTATGAATGATATCGGTCTTTGTTGGAATCCCATGTGCGAGCATGCCACACTCTTGGCAACTGTGAACCTTCAAAACTACTTTGTCACGTAGCTGATTCAAGCCATCAATGTCATGTAAGCGTAGTCGCTTGCCTTGAGAAGAAACAGAAGACGGCCAGCGCTCCAGGTTCTTCCATACACTTGCCATATCCTACGACCATTTGCTTGCCATTGAAGCCTCACGGGTCAGGAGGAGCAGCCGCAGGCGAGCAGTTACGAAGTGCTACGAGGTGTTTATCTCCTTGTATAGAGTCGCTGGCTGCTGACATCAGCATCTGCAGTTGGCACTGAGTTCTGACCACGTAGACCAGGAGCTCAAGGTTTGTGATTGACTGTGAGGGAAGGGGATCCGCACTGTTCCCCTCGTTCGCCTCTCCCATGGCAAGAGTTGTACTTTGAAACATGGCTGTTCCTTCAAGAGGCTCGTGCCTCGTCTTGAAGTGCTCTCCTCCTCCTTCCTGCCCAAACCCGTCGATTTACTTGTAACATAGCTCCTGGCAGAGAAAGCTCCAGAAGCATGCCGAGAGCGTCACGAAGTCAGCAGGCTACCAACAACTCGGAATGACCCTCTTCCTGCAAATTTCACAAGTTCAAGGTGACATCCATCTCGACCTCTCTCATGACATTGGCAAGGTGATTCAATTTGGATCACGTCGAGATGCTTACTTGGGGTGAACAGTCTCAGACCTTTATCATCTCCGTCCGCGTTGAGCCTGATCGGCCACGATTTCTCCACCGGCTCATTGGACTCAAGGATGGACACCTCTGGGAGATCGGCAACGACGATCATGCTGTAAGGGCCGAGGAGGGCGATGCCTTTTCTTGTTGGGAAAGGCTCCGCGACGAACAAAAACAAGCGATCTGCACCTTTTTCACCCACCTTCGCCTCAGCCCAGAGATTGCTGACGGCTGGAAGGAGTTCTTCAGCGGGGAATGCAGACTTGCCCGAGTCCGGGAGTGAAGATGTAGGCGAGAGCTCGAGGGCTGCGCAGGAACTTGCTCAGAAATACCCAACGAAGCAACAGATGGACCGTTTGCTACTGCAGAGGCTCACTTTGTACTTCCAGCCTCCTTGGAATGAAGAAAGTTCAGAGATCATTCAGATATCCTAGACAGATCTTGGCAATGGTGAAGATCTGCAGTATGCTGTTGCTTACTCTGGGTCGATCGGGGTCGAGATGTATCTCCCGTGATGCTCTTGCCTTACAGCTGCAGTCATGTCAGTACCAATGCCGCACTGATCTTTTTTTGTCTTGAGTAAGACCACCTTCATGCAATCATTTTTTCAGTCAAAGTGCTCAAGATGCAAAATGTCTAGACTCTCACTTCTGCATACCAGGTTCCACATGACAGAACAGCATGCCCAAGAGAAAATCCATGAACTGCCGGACTCTGAACTTCCTCTGCGAGGTCTCAGCTCCTTCAAGATGTTGTTCAGTGCTTTATACTCTGGCATGGATAGAGTTGTCTTGCCCTCGTGGGCCTGCATCACACCTTCGCCCTTCTTCCGGGTAACTTCTTTGGTATAGGAATTGATATAACCATCCAGAATGTCATCCAATGATCTTCCGCCTGTTTTCAACCCGATTGCCATAACATAACATTCCTGCGTCTGTACAGATATTTCAACGCACTTTTGTAACCCTGCACGGTGGACACAGCTACGGTTGCTTTGTCTCTGCTTGACACTTGCAAAATGTTGGCTACCTCTGCCTGACGCTCGTGACCTGCCACGTCTGGGGTATCTGCATTTTCTTCTTCTTCTTAGCCGTCCACACTTACTGCCGATGCTGCCTTCCTCTTGGACCCTGCTGTCCTCATTCCGTCGTGCTCACACAGCCAACCAAAGAAAGCCTGGAGCAAGTCCAATGGCAATGGGAGCTTCAGGTTCGTGCGATCTGTGTTGAGTGCTGCGTGATATCTTGGATCCTTGTGGAAGAACTCGATCATACCCATAATTCGATAAGCATACGTCTCTTGAGTGCTTCGGCTCACCGTGTTAAATTCCAGATCAAGAAATGCTTGGATGTTGGGGTCATCTGAAGCCGAAATGCTACAAGCCTCAGGGTCGTCAAATATTCTCAGAAGCGCATTCTTGTCTTTCACCCTCTTTCTGCATGAACGAGGTGCATGCTTTCCACATTCATCATTGCGATCCGAGCCAGCTAACTCCCATGCACAAACAAGGTGAAAGCACAACCTGCATATTTTGCATACCTTCAGAACAGCGTTTGCCTCAGGCTTTTGCATCAAGCAAACAGCACCGAAGACACACGTGTTGGGCTGTGCCACAGCCGGGGGTTCGTAGAACTGGATGGAGAGAGCTGATCAACTTCCTGGTCATGACTATCGCCTGCCGGACTCGCGCAGGCTTGGTTGCCATCCTGGTGGAGACCAGCCTCCAGTGGTTGGCTTTGTCCGTCATTGTCCGCCATTGCTCAGGGTGCGGGACACGACAGCAGTACATCATGATGCCGGCCAACATCAGTAGCACCTCGTAACTGCTCGCCTGCGGCTGCTCCTCCTGACCCGTGAGGCTTCAATGGCAAGCAAATGGTCGTAGGATATGGCAAGTGTATGGAAGAACCTGGAGCGCTGGCCGTCTTCTGTTTCTTCTCAAGGCAAGCGACTTCGCTTACATGACATTGATGAAGCTTTGCTGCTTGTGTCAGAGATAGATCGAGACACTCTTCGTCTTGCTGGATTCCATGTTCGCCAGCAGAAAGCCAGATACTCTTGGATGACTGATCCCACCACCATACGTGAAGAGACCCTACCTGCTCTACTTGCTTGAGAGTTCTACCAAGCTCACTGTCGATGTTGTCGAATCTGTCTGCATCCAATGAGCAATCATACCGTACATCATTTCTTGCAATGCACCTCTTTTAGGCATCGAAATGTTTGGTCCAAGAAATAGTCGCCTGCCACATGGTGAAACCCTGATCACATTTTCTACCTCAAACGGACATGAGCATGACATGAATGTATTCTTCGGGCGCACTTGTTTGCGATTCCCACCTCTTCTATCATCTTTCGATCTCGCTTCTCTCCTAACAACATTCCTCGAGCTTCTCCCCCACGCCTCTGCTAGATCCACTCCTCTACATTCTCCTCCACGACCCTGATAGATCCATTGAAGTTGGTAGCACAGGATCACGGCCGAACGTAACAAGTTTGGGTGTTGCCACCCACCCTCCTACATATCATGTAGCCTAGGGGAGAGGAGGGGGTAGAACCTAACAAGTTTAGGGGGACTAAAAAAAGCCACAAAAAACACACCATCATGGTGGGTATCATAGGGTAGTAAACTCCGCAGTTGGCTCGCGCTGTTGGCTCCCGACCCGTTGTTAGAATGACCTACTTGTAGGCTCTATCCTCCCCCTCTGTTTGCTCCGGTTTGCCCTTCTTTTTCAGTCAATCAAGGGACCTATTAACTTCACTTTGAGCAAACGATGTTTATTCATCACTCGTCGACTGCTTGCTCGTTCCCTTGTCCTTGTCCTCCATGAAGATGTTGAGGACTGCAGCTGTAAGACAAGAGCATCACGGGAGATAACATCTCGACCCCGTCAAGATCGCACAGTAAGGAGAGGGCAAGGTCCACATGAACAGAACAGCATGGAGCAACAGGTGAGGGGAGGCTACGTAGCGCACCAGCAAACAGCAGCATGCCTCCTGCGATCCCTTGCGCTCCCATGGACTCCCCCAGCAGGAAGAAGCTGAAGCAGGCGGCATAGACCTGATGGGCGCAAGGTGCTACAACGTCAGAGACTTGCTGGGCAGAGGAGGGCCTCACAGGGTCCATGGCGTAGATGATGGCGGCGCTCTCTGCCCTGATGCTCTTCTGCCCGACGGTCTGCGATCACAGCAAGTGAGCGCAAGATCGTACTGAATGTGAGGAGGAGGAAAGAAGGATGGATGTCAGGAGGAGGACAGCAGGATCCCACACCTGCAGGAAGCTTGTCAAGGCTGTTGTGACCAGCCCGAGGTAGGAAGCAGCGAGCAGCTGCTGGGGTCCCAAGTGCATGTCCTCTGAAAGGGAGGCAAGGTCAGTAAAATTCTCGTGGCCCGGCCGTGAGTGATTCACCTGTCCTCTCGAACAGCAGTACCCAGATCAGACACAGGACAGTGACTGTCATCTGGTGCAACCCGCGTTACATCACTACGATCATCATAAATCATCATCATCATCATCATCATCATCATCATCATCATCATCATCATCATCACAACAGCAATCATCTGTTGATCAAGGATTCATCTCTCAACCATTGAGATCGCGTTCAGTTCTGCAGCCTCGTGCCTTCTTGCCGCTCCCTCCAATCTGAATGCAAACCAGCATCACGTTCATCCAACTCACCTCAGCCTCGTCTCCTCCCCGCTTTCCTCTTCCCCTCCCATCCTCGTCCTCGTCCTCGTCCTCGTCCTCGTCCTCCTCGCTCACCTTAAGATAAACATAGCTGAGGACGCGGCAGCTGCAATCGACCATGCATCCCCAATGTTCGGAGCTCCTCCGTCGTAGCCGACGAGAAAGGTTCCTAGCAGAGCCAGGCCCACGTTGCTCCAAGTGGAAGAGGATACTGCCGTGAACCATCAGAAAGACGGAGAGGATTCACGTGAAGATGATGAGGGAGGAAAGGGATGGGAACGAGAACAAGGAGGTTCAGAAGTGGAGGAAAGCACCTTTTCTGCTATAGAGAAGGAGCCCCAAGATGGGCACAAGTTTGACATTGAGGTACAACTGCATGCAACCAACATCAGCAAGGTGAGGAGGCGAAGTCTGCATCGCCGACCAGGAAGGCGCTTCTTGAAGCTGTCGTGTACTGCAGTCCAATACTCTGAGTCGCATATCCCGCAAACGTCCACAGTCCGAGCTCGATCCCCGAATTCCACAGAGATCTCTTCCCTCCCACCTCCTCCGCGCTTCCCCCTCCTGTAACATCAGACGCTTCCAGCGTTCCCGCTGACTCGACGGACGCCGCAACGAGAGCTCCTTCCTGCTTCTCCTCCTCCTCCTCCTCGTCTGCAGCAGGAACCTTAGGTGATGCCCTCCCGAAGTCAAAGATCCCCGGGGCGAAGGGGAGGAAGACCATGGTCGCAAGGGCGAACCGCATCATGTTGAGCAGAGCAGGAGAGCCCGTGTCGCCCTCCAGCGTGAGCTTGATGATCGCATGCTGACTGCCCCACAGGATCGTGATGAAGTTGAGGAGCATCCAGGGGCCCCAGGCAGACAGGAAGGAGTTGTCGAAGACGCTCTCTCGCTCGATGCCCAGGTACCTCGCGTCCTCCTGCTCCGTCTGCTTCCTTGCCTGTTCCAGTTCGTCATGCTTGACTTCCTTCAGGACAGTCTGACTTCCGTCTCTTTCCGCTTCCCCTCCTCGAACTATCGTTCTCCTCCTACTGTAACAAGAGGAGGCTGAGTTCCCCGCTCCCAAGCGCCTCCCAACGGCCTCTCTTGCCAAGTACGCGGGCCTTGCGGCAGCTTCATGTTGCTTCTTGAGGAAGGGATTCGCGAGAAGAGAAGAAGAAAGTGACGATGCCGATGGTTGAACGGTAGCAGAGCATGAGAGGCAGGCGCGTCGTGGCAATGGCGCCAAACTCACTCCACCCAAGGCACAGGGTGACGAAGGAGACTGGAGCAGCGAGTGACAGGCCGGGCTAGAAGACAGGAGAGGAGAGGAGGAGCATCGAGGTAGAGAGGAGGAGGAGAGAGACGAGGGGCAGGGATGCAGGAAGAGCATGGACGTGGCGCCGGGATGAGGCGACGGCGATGCGGCGCATGCGAAGCTGCGCACCATGCTCTTATATGATCTGCCCTCTGGATACGACTAATGTAACTGAAAATATCACATACTTGACTAAAATATATCTTTATGCAAATCAAGCCCCCCTCAACTTATTCATAGGAGAGATTCGAGGACAGAAGGAAGACCTCGTCAGTCCGCACGGAAGGAGCTAGCATGCAGAGCCGGCTGGGCGTGATGCCCTACGATGCTCTCGAGGGTGGAGCTCACGCTCAGCGTCTCCTCGTCCTGCCACAAGTTCCCCATCACCTGCACGCCCATCGGGACATCCTCCACCAGGCCGATCGGAAGGGTGACCACCGGGTTGCCCATGATGGCAGCTTGGAAAGCGTAACCGAGCAAGGGCTTCCAGTAGGGAACTTCCTTGCCATGGATGAGGAAAGGCGCGTGGTTGGGGTTGTGCTTGAAAGCGTTCACACCGGAGACAGGCAGGATCCACACCGCGTGCTTTCTGCCATCCTTCCTCTTGAGCGCGTCCATGGTCTCCCTGAACGTCGCTCGCGCAGCATGTCTGAGCTGCTCTGCCTTGTGCAGCTGAGAGGCCGATGGCGACCTGTCCTTGTCTGGCCGCTTGAGCGGATGGTCTGTTTCAGATATGCTGACGCAGAGTTCCGAGAAGAGCCTGTGAGCTTGAAAGAGAGGCTTCTCGTCCAACTCCGGGGCTCCATAGTGGACTGAGACTCCATGAGACGCAAGCTTCTTCCCCAGCATTTCCAAACCTGCCGTCACAGCCTCTTGTGTGGGAACAGAAGGAAGAGAAGTCGTAAGCAACACGCTGATCTCAGATGGAGGAGGAGCAGGTAGAGGGCAAAAGGGAGAGGAAGGCAAGGCGTCTTCCCAAAGCCCTCCTGCATCACAGCAGGCTGCCTGCATGAATCGCTGTAGCATCGCTGTATCCTTGGCGATGGCTCCGACTGTCAGGAAGTTCTGCATGCAAGCGACCTCGGGCACGTGCCCATGGGGAGATAACCGCCGAGCAGTCGGCTTGATGGAGGCGACTCCACAGAAGGAGGAGGGCACTCGTAGCGATCCTGTGAGGTCCGAGCCGACAGCAAGAGGTACGAGACCAGCCGCAACAGCAGCAGCTGAGCCGCCCGAGCTTCCTCCTGGAGTGAGATTCGTGTCGTACGGATTGAAAGTGACTCCAAACACTTCGTTGAATGTCTGCATGTCGAGGCAGCCAGTCGGAACGTTGGTTTTCCCCAAGCACACTGCTCCGGCTTGCTTCAGCCGTGCGACAACGTTGGCATCTTGACTGGCCATGCTTCCTACCCTGCTCTGATATCCGCAGACAGTAGGCATTCCTTTGACATCAATGCTGTCTTTTACCAGGAAGGGCACATTCAGAAGGAAGAGGGATGATTTGTTGGCATTGCCACTCCTCCTTGATTCAATCTGATTCTCGATCTCCTCCTTCTTTGGAACATGGACCACTGCATTCAGAATCTTGTTTGTCTGCTGAATGTGAGCGAAAGATTCCACTATGTCCTTTTCCACCATGCTCTCGAATGTGTGAAGAAACCTCCTCTTGTAGAGAAGCATACTTCGAGATCTCATCTTGGCGAAATCTCAGGTTTTCAAACAGATCACGCTGTCCTCCTGTCGATCATCCTCTTAAATACACCCTACAAACAATTCAGACGCAGCAAGCGCAGACGTTACAACTGACAAACGTCGTGTCGTTCTTCTCTATGTACCGCTTGAGTTCTTCAGGCAAATATGCAGCCAAGGAGACGAATCCAATCAAAGCGAGCTTAGTCGCAACTGAAATTTCACATGTAAGCATTTAAATGAGATGGCAGGCGGATTTGGTAATGCTTCTGTTGTGCTCGTTCCCCTCCTCTCTCCTTGCGCCCCCCCAGCCCCTGCTCTGCTCCCTCCCTCTTCTCCTCGTCATGAACTTCTCTTGCCTCCTCCTCCTCCACCACCACCTGGGAACTTGAACTTCTGCGTTATGCGAGGAACGTCTTCCATTGCGCCACGAGACTTTGGCCCTCGTCCCCGCTCCTACACTCGTCCCTGCCAAAAAAATCTTATTGCAGTCAGTCAAAATGTTGGCGGCAGGGAGCTGCTGGGGGAATGCGAGGGAACAGGGGTTGGTGGGAGGGCGCGATGGGAGAGCAGAGAAGGAGGAGGGATGGAGATGGAGAACTTGGTCACAAGATGTGGCAGGGCTGACTAGAAGGTAGGAAGCTGACAGAGGAAGCAGGAGGCGGGGGAGGACAGGTGAGAGGACGTAGTTTGCTCAAACTTGAATGAACTCGACTTGATGGGGGGACCGAGTGAGGAGAGATATTGAGAAGGCACGTTGCTAGTGTAACGACATCGTTGATACCCCCTGGTATTGATGAGAGGGGCGAGGCTTCTGTTTTGAGATCAATTTTGGAATCTTGACATTTTTCAGCATTCTAAAATTTGACTTGCAGGCATTGAAAGCAAACTTTCCTCGGTTGATTGCAATTTGTCAGCAATCTCATGTATCAGAGTCATCAGCGTTTCTGTGCTTGTTGAATCTTGCAATTTGGAGGGATCGGCCGATTGAATTCATCCCACAGCATTCTTTTCCGTGAAACATGATTACCGAAGGCCATGGCTATGGCGTTTTGAGCCCGGGCATCGTCAGATCACCCAGAACACGACAGGCGGACAAGGAGCTTGAGCATAGCATGCGATCACCTGAGGTCCTCAATCGAATCTCCAACTTCGAGAGTGAGACTGTGGCGGCATATGACAAGGACATGTCGAGGGAAGCATGGCACCTGGCAAAGGAAGCTAGACTGTCAAAGCTGCGGCAGGAGATTGGATGGATGGAAGTCTCCTCGCATGATGGGAAGCGTTATGCTCCAGCAATCCCTTCCTCGAAAACCTCAAGGTCGCTCAACGCAAAGCGCCGGCCAGCACAAGAGGAGTCGGTCAGCCCTGACTTTGGGGCATGGCGAAGATCGTCCAACGGGTCCTCTGCGTCGACGATCTCACAGATAAACAACGAGGTGAAGCTCTCCTGCCGTCCTGCCTTGTTGTCTAACAGCCCCGCAGAGTGGTACGGCCGTCAAGCACGGACGGGAGCACGAGGAGGAGCAAGAGGACGCGACGTCCCCAGGGGAGTTGATTGCTCCTTACAGGGAAGGGGACGAGGCGATGCTGCTGCTGCACTCTCCTTCCCCCTGCAACTCGATCCGAGGAGTCACTCCCAGCGACGATGACCTCCTGCTCGAGGGCTCCCGGCCGGCCCCGGGCTACGAGGACATTCAGAAACACATACACACGCTTCGCGGGATTAAGAGGATTCAGCCCGGCATGAAGAGCAGCCCTCGTCTGACTGTGGTCGAGCCTAGCCTGGACTGGGAGGCCCTCGCACCAGTGGCTGAGGGGGCAAGAAGTCATAGGAACGACTTCAAGTCTCTTTATGAGGCTGATCATCTGCAGAACCACCAGACGGAGGCAGGCAGGCAGGGAGTCATCGAGGAAGAGGCGACTCAGAATTTGCACGGCCCCAGGAGGAGCGAACCTCTCTGGAAGCCCAAGGGGAGCATGCCGACCCTCAAGCTCTCGGATCGGAGCCTAGACAAGAGCTCGCAGCAGGAGAAGAGCAACAGGGTCCTCAAGACTTCAATCCTGGAGCTCGAGACCACTGCCCCTCCCCGCAAGACGAAGCTGCCGTCCATCTGCCAGGTCAGCCCATGGGATGACGACAAGAAACTCCTGATCGCAAGCCCGAAGCGTCTCGTGCACTCGGATCAAGCTCCCCGGCGACCTGTCAATCATTTCTCCATCGTCCCTCCTCTGCAGCTCCCGCCCCCACTGGAGAAGACGGAGGAGAGGTCTTGGACGCAGAGGAAGATGGAGCAGGCGGACAAGTTCTACCCTAAGATTAAGTTCTACATGCCGAACACCGCAAGGCCTGCCGTGTCCCCCACGACAGACTACTGCCGCAAGGTGATGAGATTCTTTCCGGTGCAGTCCTCCTCTTTCATGCAGATCTTGGGGAAGAGGAGCAAGGTGGAGGTCCAGCAGCAGCACACGGCGAGAGGATGATGAGAACAGCTTCACAGGAGGAGGACGAGGAGGAGGAGGACGAGGAGGAGGAGGAGCTGTTGGTGTTGGAGTGGGACATTTTTGGTTCGGTTGGCTGTGACTTGTGATGTACCATTTGGTATTTTTGAAACATGGTGATGTTTTGTCTTGAATGAATAACAGTTTTCGAAGAGAACCTGTCGTTTCCTGACTTCTCTTCTCTCTCAATCTCTGACCTTGATGCTCGTGATTACCGGAGAACCCGCGTAAGGGTCCAAACTGAGGATCTGCAACGGCACTGAGCAGGAGAAGAGAGAGGGGGAGGAACAAGATTCTTACCTCTGAGAACACTTTGAAGATATCTCCCTTCACGAAATCATTGTCGACCATGTAGACATGCCAGTAGCTACGAACAAGCTGGTGAGGAGGCGGGAGACATAAAGGAGGGGGGAAAGTATTGACGGGAGGTAGATGAAGGCTTTGAGAGAATGCAACAAGGAGAGGGAAGCCAGCGCGAACACAGGTGTTGAAGAGGAGGAAGGAGGAAGAGGGAGGAAGAGGGAGGAAGGGGCAGGAGGGAGCAGAGGGATACACGGGAAAGATGTGGGAGCGAGAAATAAGGAGGTGGAGGGAAACCTAGCGTGGATCTTCTTGATCAGGCTTCGGGATTCTGATCGCTCGGGGTAGATGGAGGCCCACACACTCTTCCACATGTCCATCGCTTCCTCGCTCCAAATCTACTCGTGACGAGTCAACCAGCGTACAGAGAGGAAGCGAGTAGACGAGAAGATAGGGGGGAGATGAGGGGGTAGGGGGTAGATGAGGAAGTAGGTAGGGGGTAGATGAAGAGAGAGGGTGGGAGGAAACAGCTGCGGAGAAGCAGAGGCCTCTTCGGCCACATGGCGACAGTTGGGGGAGGTGGGTGTAGGTGGGGGCTACTTGCCTGAAAGCTGAGGGAGTCCACGATGGTGGGTTGGAGGACCTGTAGAAGCTGAAGATCAGGTGTAGGGTGGGCAGAGGAGAAGGGACCGTGACCTCGCTACCATCAAACACTCCCCAAGTGACCGCCGAGATATGCCGATCGTCATTCTGCGGAAAGAGAGAGAGAGAGAGAGAGAGAGGAGGAGGGAGGGAGGGGGAGGGGGAGGGGGAGGGGGAGGGGGAGGGGGAGGGAGAGGGAGAGGGAGGGAGGGAGGGAGTGAGAGAAAGAGAGAGAGAGAGAGAGAGAGAGAGAGAGAGAGAGAGAGAGAGAGAGAGAGAGACATAGAGAGAGAGAGAGAGAGTTCAGAGGGAGAAAAGGAGGAGGGGGGAAGGCGAAGGAGAAGGTTTTGACGGATCAGCAGAGGGGAAGGGGACAGCAAAGTAGCGGAAGGTGAACATCTTACCACATTCGCTTCATCCGTCTTGTTTCTCTGCCCCAACGAGTCGGTCCACACGCATCTGGTCGTCATGAGCGTGACCTTCCGTCGATCCTCCCTCCCTCTCCAACGCTCATTGCCTTTCCTCCTCCTCCTCCTCCTCCTCCTCATCATCATCATCATCATCACCATCATCATCATCATTCCCAAAAGCATCCATGCTTACTCCCTCCTCCTCCTCCTTACCTCCTCCCCCCATTGACATTGAACGCCTCCAGGGAGATGCTAGGATGAGATCCCAGCGCCTCCAGCAGCCTATCTGGGGAAGGAGAGGAGAGGTCAGGTGCTTCTGCGAGGCGGAGGAGCGGAAGGTACCGAGGTTGCCAGGAGAGCAGAAGAACTCTAGGTAAGCCTTCTGATAGACGTGCCCTCCCCTCGGACCCCAGCCGAACTGTTCGTCCTCCGAAGGAGCTCCATTGACCCGCGGCTGACTGTTGATGGTCAAGTAACCTGTTCAATTGAATGAGATCAATGATGAAGATGAAGATGATGATGATGAGGAGGAGGAGGATGATGATGATGATGATGAGGAGGAGGAGGAGAAGGGTCGATGCACGCTTCAGTGTATTACCGTAGTGATTGAGTGTGGCGAGCGGTTTCAGAATCCCCGACGCCAGCGTTTCCTTCTCGAGTCGATCACACCTGGCCAGCCGTCAGGGTTTGGCAGCAAAGGGGAGAGAAAGGAGCGACCATGGCAGTCTCGGCACGAATCCCCGCACAAATCTCTCGAACACGTCGAACACATCCTCCTCTGTGGACGGGCTTTCCCCCCACCTTCTCCGGGTCAGCTGAGAGCGGGACAAGGAAGTCAGGCCAGCGCACATGTTCCTCCTTTCGGCCATGGAGCCCAGTCGACGACCAACGATGGAGTGGTGGCTGTACAAGATGTTGTCTGGGTATGCGATCAGATGAGGGAGAGGAAGGTAGCAGCTTCCAACCTTCGTCGCCAGAGGGGAGGGGGTCATACACGAACGAGTGATCGCCCGCCTTGCTCTTCTCGTTGTTCACCTGTCCCCACTGGCTGTGGCAAAGTCATCCTCCTCCTCCTCCTCCTCCTCCTCCTCCTCCTCCTCCTCCTCCTCCTCAACCCTATCGCTTCACCTCGGGAAGTCAGCAGACCAGTTGCGAGTGCGAGTGAGATAGCTGATGGCGTTGGAGGCCCAGAAGATGGGTCGAACCTGCGAGAGGCAAGTCATGCTCCTCCGCAGAAGGACACGGAGCCCTTACAGTCTCCTTCTCCCTTGGCCTTGGGAACGGCAGGGGCCTGAGAACCAACAGAGGTCACTCATTGACCAGCAAGAGCTTCAAGATCGACCGAACGGCAGAGTCTGACATGCCGGCGTCGAGGACCTTGAGGTTGAGGTTTGTGACCTGGGAGCATCGGATCAGTCCGCGAGTCTCGTTGCCTGCCAGCTGCACGCACAATCTCCTGAGCTGACTTCTCGAGATTCAGGGTGTACATGTACAGACCAGGAGCGCCTGAGATCGCACGTGAGGACACGCGGGCAAGGGGAGCTGAGCTGGCAGCGTCACCGGAGGAGAGCATCTCTGAGCAGACCCTCTGCATGTAGACCCTCCCTGCCTCTCTCACTTTCTCCTTGTCGCTCCCGCAAGTCTGCAGGAGCGTGAAGTGACAAGCACGTCAACGCAGGACACACGAGCGAACGACAGCAGCAGGAGCTGCAATGGGAAAGCTCTGCACCATCGGACTTGCTCACCTCGAGCAGCTCGACAAGGTCTTCGGGGACTTCAACGGAGCAATGGTTGCAGACGGCTCGGAGCTTCTCAAGGGAGGGAGGAATCATCAACACTCCGGGAATGATGGGGCAGTCGATCCCAACCCTTCGGCAGGAGCCCACGAACTCCTGGTACTCCGACGCCTGCGAAACCTCAGAACGAGCCAGCGGGAGGCGGGGGAGGCACCTTGAATGTCATCTGAGTGATGATGAAATCCGCTCCACAGCCGACTTTCTGCTTCAGATGCTCGAGATCCTCCTCCTTGGAAGAGCTCGCCGGGTGCTTACCCGGGTGGCCAGCGACTGAGAGCGAGAAGAAATCACCGTACTTGTGCCGGATGTACGACACTAGCTCGGATGCATTCTTGAAACCGTCCGCCACAGGCTCCCAGTCTGATTTTCCAGGTGCTGGATCCCCTCTGAGCACCAGGATGCTTCTGATATCCGCGTCCATCGCCTCCACCAGCAGGTCGTCTGCCATCTTCTTCGTTATCCCCGTGCAGGACATGTGCATCTGGACATCCAGCGAGCAAACTGCTTTCGCAGCCACCAAGGTCTCGATCGCCCGCTTCCCTGACTCCATGTTCCAGGTGACATCTACAAACAGAGGCTTCGGCTGCCACCAGACGTCATCCCGGCCCCCATCCACCTCCTCACAACACCTGCAGCTTTGCCAACCTGTCCACTCGGGCTATGAGACTGCGGGCTCCTTCCAAGGTGTTTGGGGGAAAGAACTCAAGAGAGTAGAACTTGCAACCATTCTCGATGTGATGGCTGCGATGAGGTCAGGCCGCACGGACACGCTGAATCGTTCGTTATAGTACCGAATCTTGTCGGAGACGCACCCCTGCCTGCCTTTCCCTGCACTACTCGCGTCCACCGGAGCCATAGCTATGCCTGGCAAGAAGATCGCATCAAACAAAGTCTGCACATCATGTCTTTTTCGTTCGTATCTCTTTCTCCTCACAATCGCAGCGCTGGGCAGAGCGTCCCAAAAAACCTCCACGAAACCATACTCAACCTCAATCCCTTTACCCTTCGCTCCTTCTTCCTCTCCCCCCTCTGCGTGTATTACACGACTCGACTCGACTCCTCAAATTCTTGTCCTGCCTCCTCCTCCTCCTCCTCCTCCTCCTCCTCCTCCTCCTCCTCCTCATTGCTCTTCTGGCTCCAAACCCCTCCATCGCTTCCACATTCTCATTTTTCTCCGTGTAAAGATGTTTTACTCAATCGCGCAAAGCGTATCCGCTAAAGTATCCGAGATTCCGGATAATGAGTATCCGGACAAAACAAAAGTATCCGGACAAAAAGTATCCGGACAAAAAGTATCCGGACAAAAAGTATCCGAAACTTATCCCACGAAAAGTATCCGTGAGAAGTATCCGTAAGCAGTATCCGGATCTATCTTTTGAACTTCGGTGGAAGTATCCGGGGGAATGTCGGTTTTATTTGTATTGTAGGAGTCGCAGGTCACGGATGGATCATGTCCAACTTCTTCGCTAATTGTGAGGGGGAAAATTAGGGTAGGGTGGAACTTCATGGGTGGGGGTACCAACATGTATCAAAAGTACCCTGATTTTCCCTAAAAATATGTGCTAAATAAGGGGTATATTGAAAAACTTAGGGGTCATGTCAAAATGCACCAGAAGGGGGCTGGGGGGTGGCCGGCCACATTCATCCGTGCCAAGTGCATGAGACGCGATGACAGACAGCGAAGAATATCAAATAAAGCGATTTCATATCATAACAAAGTTTCTTTATTTGAAAAGTTGCAAAAATAGTTTTATTCATAACTGCTTTTAACAAAGGGGACGCAGAGATCATCGAAAAAAGTCTCTTTCGAAATTTACACCAGGGGTCGCTCCAAGAAACAGCACAAAAAGGGAGGGAAGGGGCGGTGGAGCAACCCTTCAAGTAGTGCTCCACTCGCCCAACAACTACATAAACACTCCAATTTCACTTCCGTACACTCCTTCTTCCCATACTCAACATGGCCATTACCGACTTTGACGAACTCTTGCGATGCTCTTCTGCTGAGCATTCCCCTCTCAAACAGTTTTCATCCATGAAACGATCCTCGTCCGAAGGCGATCTGTGCAAAAAGCCTAGATCGCTATCGGGTTCTGAGGGGTCTGTCGAGCTTCTGGATGAGATGTTTCAGTTGGAAGAGAGCGAGGATCAGTTCATTGACGAAGTTGCTGCATACAATGCGCCCCTTGACCTCAGCGAACTGTTGGACAGCTTGAATACGCCAAAACGGTGTTTGGGCAAGAGACGGTTTATCGAATCTTGCCCTACAAATGAAGGAGATTGGATTGAAAGAGAATTCTTCAACGTCGACTGCAGGATAAGACAAAAGTACAACAGAATCATTGGAAAAGAAATTATGAAGGCGATGAAACGGAGGAAGTTCTGAAAAAACCAGTGGATTTTAACAAAAGCAATGTTTTTCTGGTGCTTTTGTGATATTATTTTTCCCGTCTCAGTACACCCTCTCTAGTACTAGTGTAAATCTTGATTCCACAGCAAATAAAGAAATTTTTTTCGAAAAAGAACAAATTCACTTACATCTGTTTGAATTCTCATGCTCGCTGATATCACATTACAATGCCGTGTATCTTGTCACGATTGCTTGCATTCGTCGTTCCAAATTCTCCAACTCGAAGACATCGGCGCTCCTATGCGGGAAGATTTGTAGCAGAATGCGAAACGCATCAGAAACCCCTGATCCCGCTCTTTGAAAATTTGTACTTGCGGAGAGCGTCCGAATTGGAAAATTACGGTCATTCGCTTCACGAGAACGGTCGCTCGTTTCGCTTTCGGACAGAGAAAAATACTTATCCCTCTCGCTGACAACCTCTGGCATGAGCTCCTCTTTGACATGATTGAGTTTGGCAGGAGGAAAGATTTCCTTGGGTGTTCTCTGACCTTGAAACAGCCTTGGCTCCTCTAACTTTGGGACCTTAACTGGCTTTCCGTCAGCAGCATCTTCTTGACTTGCTGCCTGAGCAAGAATGACTTTGTTGGCTTCCTCTCGGATGTCTTGCAACACGCTTTCTGAAAGTGCATGAGGAGGCTCTACCGACACATCAGAGCTGAACGACAGGGCTGGGGACGGTGATCGCGCAAATACAGAATCCTGTTGCTCAGATGTTGTGCTCTTAACGGAACCTGGGCGACTTTCACTTGATCCTGTTGATCGCACTGGCAGTTTTTGTAGTGACGCTTGCTCTACCACCACAGGTTTGAGCTCAACGATGTCATATTTCTTTTGCTGTACAAACTTTCTTACTTTCTGCCAACCGGTTCGCGAGGCAGAGCCTTGATCGACAACGGGCTTCACTTCTTTTTGTGGTTCAAGAGAACGAGAGCTTTCAGTCGTCCGCTTTCTTTGTGATTCTGTTGGAACCTCGAGCTCTGAGATGGAGCTCTTGGAAGAAAGGAGGGGCATGGTCTGAATGATCTTCCAGGTACCCAGCTTTACAATAGCTTGCCTCACAGAGCGAGGGCCACTTTGTACAGCCTCGACAGCGCGCTGAAAACTTTCTCGGATGCCTTCGCCAGATGCAACGTTGACATGTATGACAGCAGAGAACCGATCCATAGCAGTGTAGTGCTCCACCAGGTTGAAAATGGAGCCGATCTGCGAGCAGAATTTGCCATCCCAGGATGCATCTTGGAACAGGAGGAGGACAACTCGATCCTTGTTTTCCCGGGTGATGAAGGTATTCCAGATGAAATCATCCTCTTGCCAACCTCTGGACGGATTGGGTTCTTCGTGGTTTGGTTTGAGCACGTATACGATTGCCGACGCATCGTCCAGGCAGTCCCGAGCTTCAGTCAGGTGCATATCAGCTCCTGCAAGATCAATAATCTCTGCTTTAAATTCCTGCCCACCTTCTACGCATGCGATTTGCAGAACTTCCGAAACTCCCCTCTCTGCCACCCTTTTCCCTGCAGCGAGTGTAAGGGAACGAGATGGGCCATTCAAAGTTTGACGGCGGCATGATAGGTAGGGTTCTCACCAGGAAACCATGAGGATATGACTGAGCTCTTGCCTGAAGATGCCTTCCCCGTCACAATCAGCGTCTTCCTCCCCACACCCCAGGCTCCCCTCCCCTCCTCCGTGCCACCCGCCATCGCCCTAGTCAAATTCAGCTCTTGTCGACTTTTTGAATTCGATCCTACGTCTTCGAACTGCCTATACATTGTTGCTGCCTTCGTCGAAGCTTCTGGGGCAAGCTTGTCACGGCGAGTCAGCCGCAGTCACTGTAGTTCAAAGGTCTCATGCCCACGATGTCAGTCATGGTGTAGCCCGGAGCTCAGGGAAGCGGACTGTTGGGGATTCGGACTCGGATATGCAGGACCGTCAGACAGTGATCAGATGGCAGCATTGAATGAGTGGCGGCAGAGCCTGTACGGAAGGAGGAGTGTAGTTGAACTTCTCTGTATTGAAATCATTTCTCCTTCTTGTCTTCGGCCCTCTTGCCTTCCTAGATCGCATTCGACAAGCCGGAAGTCGGCAGCAACACTCTCAGTCTCCTCCTCAACATCATCTCTCCACTGCTTCCCTCCGCCATTGTACAACATAATCACAAGGCTTCTTTTACCTTCACACTGGAGATCCCTTGGAGCCGGAAAAATAGATGCACAGGGAGGACCAGACGGAGAGCAGGATGTGGAGAAGAGAAGGCGAAGGAAGTAAGAAACATCGCACTACGGCTTGTCTGAACCGCCTTGGTGCTGATCTAAAGCGGCTGCCATTCCTTCAAGGCTTTCTTGATCTCACGCTTGCGCTCGGCAAACTTTTCTCCCGTCTCCTTCTCACGTAATCTCAAAGTAGACAGCTCTTGTTCAAGCTCTGCTCGTGCTTGCAGTCGCTGTTGCACCATTCTCTCTTGCTTTCTCCTGAGCTTCTCCTGCTTCGCTTCTTCAAGCTGCTGCCTGTACATGGCCCTCCTCTCCGCCTCTTTGCGTGTCGCAACTTCATAGAAACCCGTTTTGACCATGAATAACTCCATGCTTGCACCGACAGCAAACCCTACTTGAAACATGACCGCCACCTGAGATGCTCGTCAAGGTTCCTCGCCTCGAGTATCATGTAGAAGGCGTACCTTCCTTCCGAGCGAAGCATTCTTTGGCCAAATGGTTTCTGCAAGGGACCGCGGTACCACTGAGTAGATCAGCCTCAACGCAAGAGGCTCGGACATGACACTAGGAGCAAAGGACAGGCTAGGATGACGGAAGAAAGGCAGGTGAATGAGCGATGTTGGAAGAGAGAATAGAGGAGGATATGGAAGGAGAGAAGGCAAGAGGGAAGACAATGATCGGTATGAAGAGAGGACGAAGCTAGCAAAGCGGCAACACAAGCTCAAGCCATGGCCGACTGCAACCTGACCATGGTGTTTGGGCGATGAGCATGCCGAGGCAAGCAGTAGTGATAGTTTTGAAAAAATAAATAAGACTTTTCAAACTTGAAATCTCGATTACAAAAACAAGGGAACAAGTTCAAACCTGAATGAAAGTTTGGGTGCTCGGGAGTTTTGGAAGTTTGGGAAGTTTTTCATTTGGGGAGCTCAATTTTTAAAAAGGTGGCGAGACATGGCAGGCCAACGGAAGGGGAGCGCAATGGCTGGGCAGTGTGTAGATGAAGATGGCAAGGTGAGCGAGAAGAGGATGAAATGGCGCCGATGACTCTGATCCGACAGGTGTCCTGCGCTCTTTACCCTCTCCTCTGCATGCAGCCTCGTCGAGAACTTTGAACGGAACCTCTGGCGTGGAGGACAACAAACTACTTGAAACACCATGGAGGCTGACCTTGAACGTAGAAACAACCAGCTCTCAGACCTGAGTGCTAGGTACTCAGAAGCGCAGAGAAATGCGCAGAAGGCCATGTCTCTCTTCAAAGAGGCCCAGGAAGAAAACGACGAGCTGAGGTCAAACTTTGAAACTCTCAAGATTGCATATCAGGCCCTGCAGGATAAGTTGAATGAAGAGAAGTACGAGCACGAGAGCACAAGGATCGAACTCTCCAAGATGGTCAAGGAGAGAGACATGCAGCATGCGCAGTGGAAAGCAGAGCTCGACATCAAGGCGAAGCAGTTCGAAGAGCTGCGCAGTCAGATCATTCCCCCTAGGGAGCTCGATGAGATCAGGATGAGGATGGCGGAGGAGCTGGAGACGCCGATACGGCAGAGGGCAGACATGCTAGAGGAAGAGCTCGAGAAGCAGCGCGAGTCTTACTTCCAGCTGAGGAGGCAGCTGGAGAAGCTTAAGTTCGAGAAGGACCAGATGCAGGCTGAGCACGAGCAGGACATGCTGGAGGCGACGGAGAAGCATCGGGCGATCGAGGCAGAGCTGAACATCAGGATCTCAGGGCTGCAGGCAGCTCTGGACGACACGACAGAAGTGCAGGAGATCAACGTGCTGCAAAGAGAGGTCCAATCCCTCAAGGTGAAGGAGAAGAAGCTGCTGGGGGAGATAGCCGACCTGAGGTCAGAGAAGGAGGCGCTGAGGGTGGCCAAGGAGGTAGCGGGGCAGGAGGTCAAGGACAAGATGGATCAGATGGCTACGGAGAGCTCCAAGAAAGACTTCATGATGGACGACCTCAGGAGGAAGATATCGCACCTGGAACGAGAGTTGGAACAGGAGACAGAGGGGCACAAGCGGACTGAAGCTAAGCTGCTGGTGGGCTGTAGACCTGCCGGTTTCTGTTGGGTGACGTGGATCTTGTTGTTTGGTGCAGGAGTGGGAGCGGGAGAACTCCGTCTTGCAGAGGAAGTTGGATGAGATGGACTTCAGCATGAAGTCGATGCAGAGGAGTTTGTTGAGAGAGATAGAGGAGGAGCGAAGCTCGTGGAGCAAGGAGAGACAGCAGCTGAAGATGACCATCAGCAAGGCCGAATCGATGCAGGCAGAGCTCCAGGTGAAATGCCTCACTGTCTGTCAAGTTCCTGTGCTTGTTCCTATATCGTGTGTGTTGTCAAGTACTTTCAGTGACGTGAAGCACAAATGACATTTGTTCTTTGTGTTTGACTTTTCCAGCAGGTCAACATGAGAGCTTCGCAAGACTACGCGGATGAGAATGTGCAAAAGAAAATTTCTGCTCTGAGAGAAGAAAACATGAAGAAGATCGCCAAGGTTTGAACTGTGGCAGAGGAGGTGAACGGCTGGCCTTGACTTGGACGTGGCGAAGATGGAGGAACAGATGCGGAGAGAGAGTGAGAAGAGAGAAGCAGAGGTCGAGAACTGGAAGGTTTGCAGTCTGTCATTTGAGAGGTTCGTCTCTGAATGTTCAAGCAGAATCGCGAGGAAGACCTGCAAAATCGACTGAACGAAGCAGAAAGCAGCAGGAACAAACTCATATTCGAGATCGAGAACAACAGCAAGCAGTCAGTTTCTTCTCCTTGTCCTTCGGGGCCAGAATGACTGACGAGCTGGGTCAGGGCCAAACAGGTGGAGAGCGACTTGAACGAGATGCTGCAGGTGCTTGCTGCGGTGAGGACATGCATGCTCGAGGTGATGTGATCGCAGATGAAGAGAGTTCTCGAGAAGGAGAAGGAGGAGCTTACCTGCAAGCTCGATGAAGTCGTCAAACAGAAGCAGAGCGCGGAAGAATCTCTGACGAAGGTGTTCACATCCCCGCCATGTCGACTGCGACACGATCCGTTCCTTCCATCCCTCGCTGACTTCCCTTCCCTGTATCTCTTCGCTCCATCTCTTCCTTCCGTCTTCCTTTTCTGTTTCCTTTGACATGTCTGGATGGCGAGGGATGGTTTGAAGAACTGATGTCTTGACGTAGGTGACCCGAGACTATGAGATTATCAAGGATGAGAACAGGTCTTTGCTCTCTCAGTGGTCTGCTCTGCCCTTCACACTCCCAATCAGGATCTTCGAAGACGCGAACAATAGACTGAAGAGAGAGATTGAGAAGTCCCAGCAAAGTTTCGAGAAGGAGCAAGCAGAGACTGAGAAGAAGCTGAAGAAGGTTGTTGGTGTCTCCCCTTTCCCTTACCTGCCCCTGCCCCTTCCCTTCCTCAATCTCCTCGCCTCTCCTTCTTCTTCTGTCTCACTTTGTCCTGTTCCGTCTCAGATGGAGGAGGAGACGAAGTCCATCATTGCGACCTACGAGGACAGCGAGCGGAAGATGCGAGAGCAGCTGACAGGTCAAGAACCTCCTCCTCCTCCTCCTCACTGCCCAGGCCGATTCCACTCTCTCCTCCTAGTCTCCTTCTCCTCTACCGTCCCTCGTCCGTCTCCTCCTGCAGAGCTTGACTCTCCTCTTGCAGACTTGAAGAAGAAGGCTAAGAAGTTCAGAGGGTTGGCGAGCAAATTTAAGGAGAAGTTCCGCAGCAAGTTCGCCGTCGCTGTGCAGCAGCTGCAGGCTCAGGAAGCTATGATCTCGCGGCTCAGGCAGGAGGCACAGGAGACGGAGGACAAGGGGCAGAAAGAAGTGGTGAGAGAGGAATGGAGGAGGGAGGTGTGCTGAGGGGCGGGAGGAGGAGGAGGAGGAGGCAGAGATGTGACAAGTGCGTCAGATCGAGATAACTCGGAAGCTCTTTGAAGTCCAGAAGGAGAAGGAGAGGCTTCTCCTCCTCTACCAGGACCAGACAGCGTTACAGGTGACGAGCGTCTGACAAGGAGGAGCGTGCTTGTGACGGGGTTTGTGCACAGGCCGAGCTAGGGGAAACTTTTCAATCTCAACCAGCTGTGCCCAGCTCGCCCGGAGGAAAGAAACAGCTGGCAGCCCTGCCCAAGTCGTTGAGCTGAGGGGCATGTAGAGTATGTATGAAGTGATGAGAATAAACGAATGTCGATGATATCAGAGGCGGAGTGGAGAGTAGGTATCAAGAACTCTCCTCCTCTCCGCGATCTCCGTGATGATGCTGTCGTATGCCTGCCTGATGTCTCGGGAATGCTGGAGGAGGAAGTGAGAGTAGTGAAAGGGGATGAGAAGCAGCGGCAGCGGCAGCAGGAGCAGCAAGATCGAGGAGGAGGACAAGGAGGAGAATTTTTACCTTAAATAGACCTCCAGTAGTGAAAGCCTTGACCATATGGCTCAATTTGACGTTGAACTTTGACCTGCAAGTTTAACGGTCAAGCCTCTTTGCTCTGACAGATTCCAGTTTTCTTACAGTTCTCCTCTGACGTTCCTTTCAAGCTCGTGGACCTGACGCTGTGGAGAGGCTCAGGAAAGAGAAGAGAGGAGCGAGACGTGGGAGGAGAGGGAGAGGACAGGGCTATATACGGGACAAGTTGGAGGAGGAAGAGGAAGTAGGAAGGAGTGCAGGAGGGAGGAGGAAAGAAAGGGAGGAGGGAGGCAGGAGAGGGGGAGGCAGGCAGGGGTGCGAGGACATACCGAAAGGTTTCCTGCACTGTGCTTGTGAGGCCCCTGGATGTTGAGCGAGCAGCCGATGGGGAAGAAGGAGAAATCCCTGCGCTCCCATCTCTTCCATACGTAGAACTCGATGCCGTCCATATCAAGCACGTCCTTCTGTTTGAGATGCACCAGGAAGTACATGTACATCCTGTGGGAAGGGAGGAAACTTAGTTCCTGCTCAGACTCCTCCTCTCCATCCTCTCCTCCTGCCCTTCCTCCTTCCCCCTGGTTTCTCATCCCCTTCACCCCCTCCCTGACCAGGAGCCCCTCTATCGCTTCTCAATGACGGATCCTCCTTCTCTTCCTCCTCCTCCTCTGTTCTTCCTTTTCTGTCTTACTCCTCCTCTCCTCCTCTCCTCCTCTCCTCCTCCTCCTCCTCCTCCTCCTCCTCCTCCTCCTCTCCTCCTCCTCCTCCTCCTCTCCTCCTCCTCCTCCTCTCCTCCTCCTCCTCCTCCTCCTTCACCAGATGTTGTGATCTCTCTTGCAATGCACGGCAAACCCCCCGGCAGCCTCTGAGTCGAAGAAGTTCCTTGGAAGGCCGCAGATGAAGCACTTCCTCTCGATGTCCTTCTGAACTTCTTCCCTCTCCTCCCTCAGCCTTTTGAACGAGTCGATGATGATGCCGAAGATCACCTCCAGGCAGATGGCAGAGATCAGCACAAAGAAGCAGAACGTGTAGAGGATGCGCAGCCACAGCTTGCTCTGCGGCCAGGCGACCAGGTTCCTGTCCCCAAGGCAGAGGTTCACCATAGGGCAGGACACACCGACCTCCTCCGGCAGGCACAGCTCGCACTGGCCCTTGTCGTCCGTCATGGTCGGCCATGGAATCTTGTCCAGCGCCTCCCCGACGTCGTTCTTCCTCAGCCCCTGATCTAAGACCATCAGCATGCAGGTCCACACGTTGCCGCAGGGGACCCTGCGGTTGTTCTGCCATGGCTGCTGGGTGGAGCCGTCGACGATCTCTGCCTTGCGGAACTGGAAGAGGTTGGGGAAGAAAATGAAGCCAACGACCCCGAACCAGAAAATGAACACCAGCCCCATCCCCAGCGTGTGCAGTAGCGCCTTCCCGCCCTCCTGCACTGCCCGCGCGACGAAGCCGATGGCCTGGGAGCGGGAGAAGAACTCGAGGAGCAGGGCGGAAAAGAGGAGCAGAGCAGCTTTGTTCCGGCGATCCGTGAAGGCCACGAGGCCCAGGGTGAGAGCAAGAGTGATGGTCCTCCACAGGAGCATCTTGTCGGAGAGGGCGACGAGGAGGTAGCGGGAGAGGAAGAGGAGTTTCCGACCCCGCTGCTCCATCATGGAGCTGACCTGCAACTTTGCGGGAGCTTGCTCGTTGAGGTGCCTCCTGACCCAGTTGGGGGTGACCTCGAGGACGTAGGAGAGGAAGAGGAGGATCTCAAACATGAGCTGGATGCTCGCAAAAACGTCGCGGAGGAAGACGAAGGCCGTCTCGTTGAGCTGGAGGAGGGCGACGGAGCTGCTGGAGGGCGACGCCTGGACGAAGAACGGCTCTTCAGGGTCAGCGACAGGAGGCTTGACGTAGCCGTAGGAGAAAAAGATGAGGAGGTTGAGGAGGACGACGTTGACGATGTAGCAGCGGTGAGAGATCATGGCGAGGAAGTGAAAGACGCGGAAGAGACTGATGGAGGTCAGCAAGATGCCGTGCTTGACCTCCAGGTAGACCTCATCCACGAGGGAGCAGAAGTCCGCGAGCCTGCTGATGTCCGAGTTGCGATCGACGGACCAGAGGACGCGCTGCTTCGCCGCAGGAGGGACTTGCTTGCAGAGGGCGGGGATGCAGAAGTAAACTCGCTGCACGGAGTGGCGGAAGACCTCGATGCTCCCCGTGGTGTCCGCGAAGAAGTTGGCGGAGGGTGAGGAGCCGTCAAGGTACCGAGCGATGTCCTCCTTCAACGAGTCATCAACACAGTCATGCAGGATCTTGAGGACGATGTAGCACTTGTGCGCGAGCTGGAGGGCAGGGAGCTCAGCCCTGGACCGTCTCATGTGGATGTCGAACAAGTGGCCGATGAGTCTGATGATGGCGTGGAGGTCCAGCTCCTGCCCCATCCTCTTGGCGATGTACATGTCCTGCGTGTGCCCCTCCAGCATGGAGGTGAAGAAGTTGGCGATCTCTATTCTCAGGCGGTACTTGTGCAGGCTCCAGTCCGCGGGGTAGCCGAGCTTCGGGTTGTCGTCGATGCGGAGGAGGAGGCTGCTGAGGGTCGACCCCACGGAGGAGCGCTTGGTGAGGGTGATCTGGTTCTTCTTGCAAGGGCCCTGGGTGAGCCGGCATAGCGTCTTGACCGACATGATGAGCTTGTCGATGTTGATCGAGTCGATACTCTTCTGCATGTCGATCACCAGGTTCGCAACCTCCATGCACAGATCGACGCCATGCACGGCCCCTCCCAGGATCCTCTGCAGGTTGAGGGGATGCCGGAGGCAGAGGGCCTGGATGAACCGCAGGACCTCGGGGAGGAACGAGCGCTCAACAGTCTCGAGGCCCTCCTTCAGCTTCGCCTCCTCCAGCAGCTCCTTGAGGGTCTTGAGACGTCCCGACAGGGTCGACTCGCTGTCTGCTATGAGCTGGTTGCTTATCAGCCTGAACTCCCTCACCTCCTCCCTTGCCGTCTTCAGCCTCCTCGCGAGCTGCTGGAAGCAGCTCCCCGAGCTCGGCTTGCAGAGCACGCGGCTGAAGCGTTCCTGCACGGGCTCCATCCCCTTCTCGAGGAGAGAGGAGCAGAGCTTCAGCGCGGGCCGCATGCTGTCGTCGGCTCCCAGCGAGATGACGTGGACGAGGGAAGAGCAGAGCTCGTCGATGTGCAGGATCCTCATGGCCTCGAGGAGAGGGCGAGAGGAGATCATGGCAGACCAGATGTACTCGAGGACGTTGATGTAGTGGAAGCGATGGGCCGGCGATCGCTTGTGGAGCTGGTTGGTGAGCATGAAGACAGCCTTGGGGTTCAGCTCGAAGGAGCGGCAGAGCGAATTGTTCTCCTCCTGCACTGAGACGCGATTTCGGAGATCCTCGATGAAGAGCGGCAGACCATGGCGGATCCGATCGCTCGCCTCGTCGGCAGAGCTATCGACGCTCTCGTGGCCGAGCTTCTGCATGAAAGAGCTCTTGAGCAGCGTCTTCAGCAGCTCCTTGGAGACTTGCGAGTGCGGCAGGTCTCGCTTCTGGAAGATGGAGAGGGCGGCGGTGAGATGAGAACTCATCCTCTTGTCGTGCGGGCCTTCCGAGAAGATCTTCATGACCAGCTCGCAGGCAGTGTCGGCAATCCTTCCCTGCTCGATGGAGATGAGGTTGGGCCGGTAGACGTGAGTGAAGAAGCAGGACAAGCACTTGATCGCCTCCAACAGCAGCGTCGTGCCCTCAGCCTGAGTCTCAGCAGGGCTGCACATCCACACCTTCTTCTCCCTGTTGATGAAGTTCTGCAGGCAGGTCGTCAGGTACCGAAGAATCCCCCAGCTCGCCCTGGACTGCACGATGGCACGGTTGATGAGCACGGAGGAGGTTTCGTAGTGCGCCATGCTGAGGAAGTTGATGGCGGCGGCCTTGAGGGGAGCAGGTGCCCACTCGTTGACGATGAGCTCCTCCATGCGCGGCAGCGGGAGGAGCCGCTGGCACTCTCGCTCGGTGTCGGAGTTCTTCCCGTAGGAGCAGGCGGAGAGGAGCTGGAGGAAGGAGACGTAGAACATGGGGGAGGAGTTGAAGTCAGCAGGAGACACCTCCCTGCAGCGAAAGAAGCTCTCGATCATGTCATGCTGCGCAGCCTCCGCGTCCCCAGTGTCGATGAAGCTGCTCATCTTCATCTTGTGCCCGACCGACAGCAGGTCAGCCCGGAGAATGCTGAGCCCGTCCTCCCCGAGGTACAGCGGCAACATCTCCTGCTGCGTGATGACAAACTGCATGATCCTGACCTGATTGCGCTTTAGGGGGATATTCTTCGGACAGCAGAGGATCTCGAAGCACTGGAGGTAGGAGGAGCGGTTCCCGCACTGGGACATGGCGGACATGATGGACATGAGAACCCGGTCGTCGACTCGCGAGCAGAGCACTCGGTTGTTGTAGAAGGTGCAGAGGAAGAGGTCGCAGGCGGCGAGGAAGACGCGGCCGTTGCTGAAGAGCTGGGGAATGACGAAGACCTCCAGGTACTCGTAGATGATCTCCTGGTTGACCGGGTTGTTGACGACGAAGAGGGAGAGGAAGAGGTAGCACTCCAGGAAGAGATCGTTGAGCGACCCGTCCTGCAGGACGTGCGAGACGTCTCGGGAGGTCAGGATGCGCAGGACTTGGAGGACCATTTCGTGCAGCGCCAGGTTCCTCAGCATGTTCTGGATCTTGAGCAGCCGGTCGACCCGGCAAGTCTGCACGATGCTGACCATCCCCCTGACTGTCTTGGTGATGTCAGCGACCTTCAGGTCGATGCCCCTGACGAGGAACGAGTCGATCACTAGGTTCCTCCCCGTCTCGTACGACATCTCCAGCTGCTCCTCAGCAGTCCTCTCAACCGCCTCCAGCAGGTCTACAGCTCTCGGCTCTGTCATGCTCCGGCTCGTTGGCATCCGGCCTGCTGCCACCGCCTTGGCTCGCATCGCCATGATCCTTCGCATGTCCTGCATGCTCGCTGGCTTGCTGGAGACGGAGCTCTCGAGGTTCTTCGCCCCCTCCCCCGTCTCCTCCCCTCGGGGGCCATGCCAGAGATGCTGCCGAAAGCTCAGCAGCGTGTCGATCACGTTGCCCGTGGCTTCCAGCGCGTCGAAGAAGTTCTTCACCACGACTTTCTCCTCCGCTTCCCTCCGCAGCGCAAACGGCAGCGACTTTCTGACGCTGAGCGGCGACTGTGAGACCTCCTCCTCCTCCTCCAGCTCGTTGGCGATCATGGCCTGGAACTCCTTCCTCTTGAGCTCGTTGTGGCTGTCGACCACGTCCATCAGCCTCTTCTCGATGGAGGATAGGATGGAGATGGAGGAGGCGAACTGGTCGGCGAGGTTGGAGGTGTCTTTGAAGTACTGTAGCATGTAAGGCTCGTTGAGAATCTGGACGTCCTTCAGCGCGTTGATCACCTCAGACCTCTGCCCGAAGAGGCGGAGGATGAGGATGAGGATGATGTTGGCTAGGCCGTCGTCCTCCGTCTCCCTCTCGGAAACGAAATGCAGGAGGTTAGAGGCGAGGAAGGAGGTATCCAGAGCGATCGTCATGAAGATCTCCTCGAAATCCGCCCTGTGTACCACGACCTTGTTGCTTCTCCTCGCCGAGCTGCCGGCGACCGGGGCATCCCCGAATCTCTTGCCCTGCAGCAGGTCCTTCTCGAACACCTTGAGGCTCAGCTGGACTCTGATATTAACCAAGGAGTTGAGGATCAGGTCCAGGATCTGGCAGCTCCACTTGTAACACTCGTCGACCCTTGCGTTGCTGAGCTCGGAGGCTTGATCGAAGATCACCTCTGCTCCATCCTCCTTCCTCGCCCTCCTCTCCCTCACATGGTTGTCCAGGAGGAGGGTCAGGGGCTGGGCGAGAATGTGGACCTGCAGAGTCTTCCTGCAGAACTCCTGGAGGTGGTGGAGGTGGGACTGCTTCGAGCACATGGCTCGTACCCTCGACCGGAGGTACTCACAGAGGATGTCGACGGGAGGCGGTACCTCCACGTCCATCCAGTCGGACATGCAACGGGAGAAGAAGCCATACTTGACGAGGAAGTACAGAAGCTTGAGCACCTGTATCAGCAGCCCGTCGTCCTCCTGGTCCTCCCCCATCACAAAGTCCATCGACTCGATGAAGTGCAGGCAGAAACCCTGGAGGACAGTCATGGCCGCAAGGTTGACGCCTCTCGGCAGCGAGAACTGGCTGGCGGGTGCGTCTAGGGAGGACCAGAAGTACACCTTCTTGATCCTGCAGCGATCCTCCAACATCGGAAGGTCCAGGTATGCGTTCACCATGAGCGACACGAAGCAGGACCGCATGCTGGTCGGCAGTCGCCCAGACATCATCGCAGCAGAGACCACGGAGAAGCTAAGAAAGTTCTTCTCCTCCAGCTGGGCGATGGTAGACTTGGTCACTTCGATCCTCCCGCACACCATCGAGGAGAGAAGGTCGAGGTAGGAGTTGAAGAACTCGACCCTCCCCTCCACATCTGCCAGCCAACCTTCCAACGGCACGTGGTCGTCAGTCCCTGAAAAGGCGTGCTTCACCATCACCTCCTCCCCTCTCAGCTCGAGGGAGGGCAGGAGACGGCTGTGGGTCAAGATCACGTCCTTAACCGCTAGCTGGTTGTCTGGCACTGCCACCACGTCTCCGCTGATCCTCGGGTCGTTGGCGCGGGAGGTGGTCGCCAGGGAGGACCTTGAGCGGTAGGTGCAGAAGGAGGACAGGATTTGAAACAGCCGGGAGTGCCGCCAAAGGCTCGACGAGCTGGCAAAGAGCTGGGGGAAGGTGTCGATACAGGACTTGTCGAGGTGAGAGATGGCCGTTGGCGAGTCCTTGTAGATCTCAAGGATCAGCTCCAGAAGCACGTTGAGGTAGGTCAACTTTGACTCGTCCACACCCGGGGGTACCGAGCAGAGCAGAGGCTGCAGGAGCTCGGTCACGCGGGAGGAGAGGTAGAGGCCGATGAGCTGGTTGCCCCTGACGAGGTGCAGGAGGACTTGGAAGACATTGACGAAGAGTTCGCGGAGCTGCTGGAGGTCTGGCGCTACCATGAGATGCGCGTGACTGACGTCCGGGAGGATCCGATGCATCCCAACGAGGTCAACGAGCGACTCGACAGTCCCCAAGTCCAGCAGCATCCCTTGCCGCCGGATCACTTGGTCCGCAGACTGCGCGTCGTCGGAGTACCAGGACAGCTTGCTGCTGGGCACTGTGAGGAACCTCTGGAGCCTCTTGAAGACCCCGTACATCTCGTTAGTCTCCTTGGTCGGGATGCTCCTCCTCGACCTGATCAGGTTGACATAGTCAATTACCCTCTTGTTCACTGAGACCACATGATTCACGTCGTTGATCTCCTCCTGGTCAGCCGGCAGCACGACCCATCCGTCCAGCTCCTCCAGCTCCGGCCACACGCTCACCATGTACTCCTGCGAGTTGCTCCTCTTCCCCACATGCAGCCAGCCCTCCACGGACTCCGAGACCCCCTGGTTCCCTGACATCCGCTTCGTCTCCTCTTTGCTCTCCTTCACATCCTTGCTGGCAGCCCCAACACCCAACAAGTCCAGACCTGCTCCGATCTGGTTCTGGATCTTGTTCAGGAAGTCCAGATGATTCCCTTTTCCTCCGTCGATTTTCCCTGACATCCTCTGCGCATTCTGGCCGTTTGCCGAGTCATCGAGATTCGGGGCCTGGTATTGTTGATAGTGGGTCTCAAGATGGTCGAAACGAAAGTGGGCGGAAGAGTTCTTGTACAGGTTCAAATCTTGGTCGTCAGATTTCTTCTGCAAGTGAGCACAGATGGAGAGGAGAGACCTGGAGGACTCAAACAATCGCTTCTCTTCTGAACACAGCACGATGAAGCTCGACAACGCGGTCGGGTCAAACATGGTGGCGCTCAACGTGCTCCCTTTCCTTGCCGTGCCCCAACCAGCGTTGACATTGTTGCTCGCCAAGAACTGGAGAAACAAGGGATATCAGTCTGTCATGCACAAGCATGCACGCTCGCAGACTTGTTCGATGCTCGTCGTCGAATTTCTCCCAGCTCGTTTCCGCGGACAGCAGGCTACCAAGTACCCTCCCGTGGCGATGTTCCTCAACCTCAGTTGGGAACCAATCTTCAACTGCTTCGATAGCGTGGGGTCAACATTTTCCACCATCCACAGGCTGTATGCAGTCCCTGGGGCACGAGCATCAGATCAGGGAAGGAGAACGACTCTAGAGGTCCCACCAGGGTTTTCACGGGGGTTCAGGGAAAACCCTGGCATTCCAAACCCCCTGGACGCTTCCAAGGTCACATGCTGAATGTTCCTTGCGGCGTGGCTGCCGGTCTCAACAGGCTCCACCGCAAGAAAAGATTCTGAATCTTGATGAAGCAACCGAATGACCTGCCCGCTGTTCAAAGGAATCCTCTGCTCTCTCTCCAGCAAATCCTCAGGTGAAGCCTCAACCTTGGATGTTAAGTTGACATCAGCCTGAGCTGGCTTCTCCTCATACGACTGGTACGAGTGATACCGAGAGACGAACCAGGTCTGTCCCTCGACGTTGCAACTGACTGTCTGCTCGAAGAGCGAGTGCTTGTCGGAATCCGGCATCACCCCCCGCATTGACCGGAACCCCAGCGAGAGGTGCGGGAGCATCTCAGGGACGATCTCGACGTAGTCCTTGTTGGACACGGGCTCGGAGCTCTCTTTCATCGCGTGATGAGACTGCAGCTTGAAGTAGGAGCCCATCCCTCCATCCGTCAGCCGGATCTCTACGTGGTTTTCACTCCCAACGTCCCCAGCGCTCGAGTACATTACTGTGAGGTACTTGCAGGACCGCACATGCTTCAGCTGGAACGTCTGCCCATACCGGACTGTTCTACCAGCATAGAACTCCGAGTCTTCTCTGTTCCTCTGGACCTCCTTGGACGCGGCGATCAACATGGACGTCGCCGTTTTCAGCGGCGGACCCTGCAGCTGCTCCAGCTCATCAAGGGATTGAATTCCAATGCTAGTCATGAACTTGTTCAGCTTCTCTTGCTCGAAGTAGGCCATCTTCACCTCCACCTGCAGCACGCGTCTCAGCACACCCCCATCCCTACCGCTCTTGGCAACAAGTCCCTGTACCTGGAACAAACAGCACTCGAAGTCTCTAGGAACCGGATGCTGCGCGTCAAGGAAGGAGGCATGGACGGAGTCGTCGATGAAGCCGTCGGCTACGAGGAAGCCATGGACTTTCTCCGAGAACAGCGCCAGCTTGTCGCCGATGCGAAGCCATTCCGCCCTGCTCTCCCCCTCCGCCATCCCCTCCCTCCTCCCTTTGCAGACTCTTCCTAATTCCGCCAACGAAAAAAGTTGTCAAGTTTGTGATGTTTTTCTTTCAGCAAGGTGACCCCTCCATGGCATCGGCGCAGCGGTTGCCCTCGCCGATCATGCTGGCGCTGCTGCTGGGAATCCTTCCGTCAGGTGAGGTGCAAGCTGTGGTGCAGGAGGATGGGAAGAGATGTGAGAGATGGACGTCAGGGGTGGGGAGGGGGGGAACGTTGATGGATAGTAGCTGATGTTTGAACATGTGGAAACTAGCAACGAGGTAGTGACAGCGTGCTGACATGAACTTGGACTTGCTAGCCCTCGCACAGGTGCAGACAGTAGCGACGCCTAGCAATCAGTTCGGGTGCACTCGTCTCCTCGTCGCCGCTCGCAGCTGACCCCAAGGCAGGGTGGTCGTCGGGCAGAGGGGATCGGTCTACGTGACTCAGAACGGAGGGTTTTCATGGTTTCAGGAGAAGCTCGAGATGGACAGTGTCCTTGACCTGTGATGCAACGGACGCGCAGTCTCCTCCTCTGACCGCTGTGCAGGACCAAGGCCGTTGCCTTCGAAGAGGAAAGCGCCATAGCCTTCGGCGGGAGCTGTCAACGTACTGTATCCTTGGGCTCTTGGGAACGTGCTAATGAGATCGCAGAGTCGTATTCCTCCGCAAACTGCGGTATCTACAGGAGGGCAGCAGGAGCACCAGTACATGTCTCAATTTTGTCCTCACCTGCCCTGAAGGGTTTTCTTCAGACAGGGACACAATGGAATCGGATTGCGATCAATACGAACATCCCAGAAAGTGAGGGAGAGGTGCTGAGACGGGCGCGTTCGTAAGTCATTCAACAGGCGTTTTGCACACTTTCAATGCGATCTCGTTCTGCAACTGTGAGTCTTGACCTACTTAATCGTTTCATTCGATGAGTCGCTCCCGATGGCAGATACCCACGGGATGATCGTGGGGAACGGGGGGCTGATCCTGAGGACTGAGAACAACGGACTGAGGTCTGTTGGTCTACGTGTAGACAGAGCAAGATGCATCTGAACTTGACTTTCAGCTGGGTCGTCGCTCAATCAGAGACTGCAGAAGGTCAACATCGTCACCTGTGTTGCAACATTGCGTTGAAGTGGAGCAAACAGACATCCTGGATGTTCAATGTCATGGGAGCACCGTCATTGCGAGCGGGAAGAATGCAAAGGTAAGGGAGGCAGCGCTTTCAGAAACTAGCGATGAGATGCTCAACTTTGTTGTTGAAGGTCTTGAGATCGACTGATGGTGGAGTACGATGGAGCTTGCCGACCGTCACAATGTGAGTGTTCGAATCCTGTTGTTGGATCTGAAGCCTTTGAAGACCCACGAGTGTTGGTACCATCTCCTCGCTCGTCATGAGGAACAACGTGACTGCGATCGCGCTGGGGCAGACCAACGGTGAGTGAACCCTTGCTGGAGATGCAGTTACTGACAAAAAGTCCTTGCCATGCCAGCCTACTTCACATCAGACTCTGTAGGGGGGAGGGCGGAGAGGATCGCGATTGTTGAGATGGTGACCAGAGGTTTCCATAGGGAACCTCCTGGCGGCTCATGAGGCCAAACATCACTCTCCCGGTCTCCTCAAGCTACACTTCCTATGCCGGTGAAGGCCCTCCAATGGCTACTGCAATCAACGGCAGCTTATCCCCCCCTTGCAGAGTCCTCCCCTTACGCTGCAGCTTTCATTGGGCCGACAACTTCAGTGAAGGCTGGTCAGCCCCTCCCGAGGACGCTGACATTGAGGCAGGTTGAGCTGCTCTTGAGTGGGTTCGACCAGCAGCTACTTTCGTCTGCATCGGTAGACTTGCTCTTGACGCTCGGCGATCTTGACCCGCCGCCAGGTTGGCGTCGCAGTGAAACAGTTTCCCTCGACTTCATTCAGGTGTTTCTTTCCTCTTCGAACTCCCTCCACTCGCCTCCCCTCACCCTCCCGCCAGCGCCAAGTCGGCGGCTCTGCCTGGGCTGCTGCAGGACTGTGTTGGCTGCGAGGTACAGCCCTCTTCCCCGCTGTGTGCCCATGAACTTGATCGCTCAGGTCATCTTCCTTGGAGGAAACGCTCCGACTGCCTCCAACCAGGTCGAGCGACGATTTTCACTAAGTGAGCTAAAGGAGTTTCAGGCCTGCGTGAAAGGCTCCCAGGGATACTCGTGCAGCCCTTCTTTGCCCTCGCAAACGTCTCGCCATTCTTGTCCTCCTCGTTCTCCTGGCTCAGGCTCTACACAGGTGCTGCGGTCCTCTGCAGTGGCAGATTTCAAGCTCGTCGGGATTTCAGACAGTTGTGGTCGAGTGTAAGATTCGTCTCCGCTGCTGCCTGATCCTCCTCCTCCTCTCCCTTCCTGCTAGCCCTCGCCCTCCCTCCCCTCCACTCTCCTCCTCCTCCGCTCCTTCCAACTCACTTCGACTCACATGGAATTCAGCTGGCACTTCCATCCTACCCGTCGGGTGTCGGTCAGTGGGACCACTGGCGTCGTTTTGTCCATGACAGAAGGGCAGGACCCTCAACGACTGCGTGCAGCTCAACTCGATCGCCTTCAGCACCATGGCGAGGTGAAGATGAAATAGGAATGAGTGCGGGCCCCTGACAGTCCACCGCAGCTCAGGGCTGAAGAACCCTGTGATAGCGGCTGAAGCACAGGTGGGTGGGAGGGAAGCGAACGATGACATGTGATGGGGAGAGGTCAGGTCAAGATCAACGGTGTCAACGTGATGGTCACGGTGGAGAAGAATGACAAGTACCCTTTTGAGGTGAGAGTCCATGGGGTAGGAGAGAAGTGCGACTAGGAGACGAGGGAGGAGGAGAAGGGGGAAGGAGAGAAGAGGCGAGGAGAGGAGAGGAGAGGCGAGGCGAGGAGAGGAGAGGAGAGGAGGGAGGAGACGAGGCGGTGTAGGGGGAAAGACGGGTAGATCAGGGAGGAGAAAGAGAGAATAGGAGAAGAATGCGGCGGAGGAATTGATGAAAAGTATGTCAGGCGGACGTGTTTGGCCGGCAAGTGGAAACTCTTCTCAACATGACGTACAGGCCGTCGGTTGTTGTTCTCAGGTGCATTGAAATGGCATGGACCGATGACGTCATCACCTACATTTGCAGGCAAACGAGCACGACGATCGACGTCAAAGTCTTCATCACTGTAGATTCTTCTCATTTGTTCCCTCCTCCTCCTCCTCTTCCTTCTCTTCCTCCTCCTCCTCCTCCTCTTCCTCCTCTTCCTCCTCCTCTTCCTTCTCTTCCTCCTCCTCCTCTTCCTTCTCCTCCTCCTCCTCCTCCTCCTCCTCCTCCTCCTCTTCCTCCTTCTCCTCCTCCTCCTCCTCCTCCTCCTCCTCCTCCTCCTCCTGCTCCTCCTCCTCCTCCTCCTCTTCCTCCTCCTCTTCCTTCGCTTCCTCCTCCTCCTCCTCCCACTCCTCGTACTCCTCCTCCTCCTCCTCTTCCTTCTCTTCCTCCTCCTCCTCTTCCTTCTCTTCTTCCTCCTCCTCCTTGTGTTCATATCCCCGTCCCCGCTATTTCTCGTCCTTCTCCCACTCCTCGTACTCCTCTTCGTCGTACTCCTCTTCCTACTCATTGTCCTGCTCTGGACTTTTGCCGAGATGCGTTCCAGGATCAGCTGGGGAACGACTACGTGGCTAAAGTGAAGCTTCTCATCAGCCTTGCTGAGGCTTCCGAGCACTCGGACAGCTCGATATGCAAGACAGGCATCAGGTGACTCTCAAATCTCCTCCTGCTTCGTCGCTCTCTTCCTCCTCCTCGTACATCCTGCTCCTTCGATGTCACCGCTGCTATCTCCTCATCCTCATTCTCATCTTCATCCTCATCCTTCACATCCTCTTAAGATCTCCACAAGCTCTTGATCCTCCGATACCCTCTCTCTTCCAACCTCTGCTTCTTCCCGTCTCCGTTCTCCGTTCTCCTCCTCCCTGCTTATCATTCCTGGCAGGCGAGTCACAGTCGAGCGCGGGGCATGGGGGGCTGCGGCGGATGTGGTAGTTCAGTGCAATGGGTGAGGAGAATTTATTTGAGGGCGATTGAGAAATCTGACGGGTCAAGTGCAGGAAGGCGATCAGTGACGGAGTAGCAATCTTCCTCATCGTATTCTTCTCTGTGTACGGCCTCACTGTTATCTCCATGGTGAACCATCTTCTACCCTAATCTCCTCACTTCTCTTTATCTTGACTCCTGCTCGTCTCTCCCTCTCTTCCCCTCTTCCCCTCTTCCCCTCCTCCTCCCCTCCTTCCCTCCTCTCTCCTTCCCTCCTTCTCATCTCATCTCATCTCATCTCATCTCTTCTCTTCTCTTCTCTTCTCTCTCTCTCTCTCTCTCTTCTCTCTCTCTCTCTCTCTCTCTCTCTCT